ATATCAACTGTGAGATACCTCACAAAGAGGAAATTAGAAAAGCTATAAATCTTCTTAAGGAAGGAAAGGCGTCAGGCCCAGATGGTATCCCAGCTGAAGCCATCAGGACCAACATAAACACATCAACATTGCTGCTACATAGATTATTCAGTAAAGTCTGGGAGACCGAAGAAATACCAGCAGACTGGAGAGAAGGATATCTTGTGAAACTGCCCAAAAAGGTGATCTACAGGAGTGTGAAAACTATAGAGGAATTATGTTGCTGTCAGTTCCTGGAAAAATATTAAGTAGAATTATTTTGGAAAGATTAAAAGATGCTATTGATAAAATGCTAAGAGATGAGCAGGCAGGTTTTCGGTCAAACAGATCCTGTACTGATCAGATAGCCACATTACGTATTATAATAGAGCAAAGCATTGAACTGAACTCACCACTTTACATTGGATTTATAGACTATGAAAAAGCATTTGACAGCATTGATAGGGAATCTCTCTGGAAATTGATGGGGCACTATGGAATCCCACAGAAAATTTATCAACTTAGTAAAGGCAACATATAAAGACATGAATGTCGAGTTCTTCATGAGGGAAAGCTAACAGATGCATTTGAAATAAAAACAGGTGTGCGACAGGAATGTCTTTTGTCGCCTCTCCTATTTTTTACTGGCTATAGACTGGACTATGAAAAACAGTAACTAACACCAAGAATGGAGATTCAGTGGACGCCATACAAACAGCTTGATGATCTGGACTTCGCTGATGATATTGCCCTTCTATCCCATTCACTGAATCAGATACAAGATAAATTAAATATACTCAATGCGAGATCACAGCAGCTTGATCTGAAAATCCATAAAGTAAAGACAAAGATAATGAGAATAAATCAGGCAAATAGTAATGTGGTTTCTCTTAATGGCACCCCACTCCAAGACGTGGAGTCGTACACCTATTTAGGCAGTAATGTAGATAAAGATGGAGGAACTGATAGAGATATTAAAATAAGAATACAAAAGGCAAGAGGGGCTTTCATAGCACTAGGGAATTTATGGAGGTCAAAAGAAATTAAAAGAAATACTAAACTAAAAATTTTTAATTCTAATGTCAAATCAGTACTATTGTATGGGGCGGAAACATGGAGAACAACGAAGGCAAGTACTAATAAATTACAGACATTCATTAACTGGTGCCTGCGCAGAATAGAGGGAATAAAATGGTATGATAGAATAACTAATGTAGAACTTTGGGAGAGAACTAAACAGGCTCCAGTGGATCAGGAGGTGAGGAAAAGACGCTGGCGTTGGATAGGGCACACACTGAGAAAACAGGAGAACAGCATAACTAGAATGTCTTTGCATTGGAACCCACAGGGGCATAGGAATAAAGGAAGGCCAAAAAAAAAAAAAAAAAAAAAAAAAAACACACGGAGAAGAGAGCTGGAGAATGAGGTTAGAAAGATTGGGAGGACATGGGGAGAGCTCCATGCAATGGCGAAGGATAGAACGACTTGGCGTGAGTTGGTTGAGGGCCTATGCTCCATTGGGGGATAAAAAGGCAGAATAAGAAGAAGAAAATGTAATTGTAATGATTTCGAACATTGATTTTCGAGTGAATTTTTGTCGTTGTTAAAGAATAGATCAGTATAATTCGGGGCTGGAAACGGATTCAACTAAAATAAAACTGTTGAGTTCCGTTGTACTTGAAATGATATGAAATTTTTGAAGAAATACTTTGAAAGAGAATTTATATATATATTTAAATGAGCTTTTAAGTTTTCTTAGAGAATTTTTGGAGGGGCTGTGCCTACAAGCCCCCTCAAATTTTTGTGGGGTGAGGGGAAGGGGGGGGGGGGGGGGGTAGGCTGAAGGGACCTGAGAACAATGTTCTGGCGCCTATGTTTTCTAGAGACCCAGGTTCGAACACCAGCACAATGTGATATGCACGCGAGGGTGATGATAAAGTTGGAATTTTTGTTGTTGTAATGTCGGTGTCCAAAATTAAATTACAACCTGCGCACTGCACTAGCCATGAGCTCCTAAATGTGCAGGCTCAAGACTTCCCTCTGTCCTGTTAGACAGGTCAGTTTCGTATCCTTTTTAATGTGCAGTTGAACCAGTCCCAGCATTTTGGGGGCTGTTGTGGTTTTTCTAGGCGAATTTCTCGTCCAGTAGTTTGACATTGCATACTGAAATGTCAGTTCTCGCTACCACTATCGAAACCAACGCAAGACGGTCTGCTGTCAAATCGCCTGCAGTAGGGATCGAATTTGGCACCCCGGCATTACGAAGCGCGTTCGCAACGCCTAGGTCACAGACGCCGGCTCTGTCCCATAATGTCCTAAAAAATAATAAATACCGGCCGTCTTCTTGGCATTCACCGGCTGTTTGTTTGTTTGTTTTAGTATCCAGAAGCCATGAGTTGTTAACCCTTAGGCTCGGTATTATGGCTTTTACGGTAATGTGGCTTTTCTGCCTACCCCCGGGAGTGAACCCGGACCACAAGGAGTTCGTCACCCGGTCACCGCGCAATCCGGTTTTAGCCAACTACGCTAGAGAGCCAGGCTTCACCGGCTGTAAACTCAAGCCGAAAGCTCTGACTGTTCGTCCACTTCTACACTTCAGTCTTTTTCCAGAACTTGAATTTTGAGTGGACATTCGTTTGACAGGTCTGACTTTCTTGTACGCAGACTGTTGGTTCCTCACCGCTCAGGCAAATGTGTTCCGACTTCAGAGGAAATACATGCAGTAACGGTGGTTTTGTTTTAATTATTGTTCAGCAGTTATTTTCTTTCATATGCTGCCGCCGTGATAAAGTGGCTAGACTCTCTCCTGCTTATTCAATAGTCGTGGGTTTATAGCCGATCGGGGGCTGATTTTGTTCAGATATGACCTTTGCTCCTAGATCGACCTAGCCTTAAATGGGTGCCAGGTAAAGTCATAGGAAGTAACGACTGCCGGTTGACTACATCACCCACACACAGACCACCAACTGTTCTATCGGATATAGGTCCAGCAACATATGTTCCCTTTTTCTTCTATTTATGCATAGCACATTTGTAGAGCCTTGGTAGAGGGGTGTTTGGAGCCCCCGCCCCACCCCTTTAAAAGAAAACATGACGTTTTTAGGGACAGTATTTCGATTTTTTTTTTTTGGGTCTCTTTCCGAGAGTTCAGTTTTGGTACAAGGGAACGTACTCTACTCAACTTTACAAGTTCAGCAGAAGTCTGACGAGTTGTCTTTTTTTTCTGTGTGTTTAGTTCTGCTGTTTAACCAGTGTGCTCGCGGCTTGATTGTGTTATAAACATGATAGTGATATCGGTTATATTTTAAGTGATGAAAAGACAAGCAAATATACCACTGGAACATGGTGACAAACACAGCAAGAGCACTGGACGTAATGATCGTCTCAAGACGTACCCGCAACTGTTTGACAAGGCGTTTCCTTACTTTAGAGAACCGGTAGAGAATGGATGTTTTAGTTTAGATGCCAGAAGACAGTTTCGGCACGACTCAAGTCAGTTGAGGGTGTTTTCTCCTCCTGCTGACTGGAAGAGATGTTTATTTGATTTGAGAAGTGGTTATGGTGATATGATAAAGCGGGATGAAACCAAGAAAGAGTATTTGGACGATCTACTTCGGTGGATTATGTGTAATAAACACAAGTTTATGTCTCGCCAGAAATTGGAGACAACTTCAGACAGCAAAACATTGAAACATGGAACAGAACAGGCAGATATTCCTAATGTATTTGACAGGTACATTTTAAGCTATCATTGTTCATATGCTTACTAAGTGAAGTGAAGTTAAAGTTAGTTGTAAATCCGGCTCTACTGTCAAATTTGGCCGGTAAGCTGGACTGCTTCGGCCGGCTTAGCGGGGCTTAGTGGGAGTTATGTCCCTTGGCCAAACTCAAAACAAGTCGCGGAAAAAGTCACGAATCAAATGGCATACTTACCTATCATCATCCGGGTGCGTGTAGGGTTCCGTAGGGTGTCTATCATCGTCCTACCGTTGCGTGTAGGGCTGCTTATTGCGTGTAGGTTGGTTGTTTGCGTAAGATGAGGGTTAGGGTTAGGGTTAGGTGTAGCGTTAGATGTGACAATTGTGACGCCGTAGTTCCCTACAATCGCGCACAGTCGCATGCACGCGCAAACAGTCGACGGACGGTGGATGCTACTGACACGGACAAGTCGCCACCGATTGGGCACCAGCCGCGCGCTATTGCCGTCATATTTGGCACACTTCCAGTGGCGCCACTCCCACAAGCATCAGATTGTCGGCCAGTATTTCGACCTCCTACGTGACAATTTTTACATCTAACCCTAACCCTAACCCTAACCCTAAACCTAACCCTACCCCTAACCCAAATCCCTCACCCTACTGCTAAGCCAATCCCGACGCAACCCCACACGCAACTGTATGATGATGATGATAGACACCCTACGCAGCCCTACACGCAACCGTATGATGATGATAATAGATACCCTGCACAGCCCTACGCGCAACCGTATGATGATAGGTAACCCTAGACGCAACCCTACGCAGCCCTACACGCACCCGGATGATGATAGGTAAGTATGTCATTTGATTCGTGATTTTTTCCGCGACTTGTTTTGAGTTTGGCGAGGGGACGCGAAGGGACATAACTCCCACTACGCCCCACTAAGCCGGCCGAAGCAGTCCAGCTTACTGGCCAAATTTGACAGGACATTGCAGAACCAACGCCATCATCCTTTTATAGATCAGTCGCCACACAGTGGATGATGTCGCCAACATCACGGCGACCGCCTTTACTTCCAACGACTGAAATCGGGTACTGGAAAGTAAATGCAGCTAGGGGAGATAGGGTCTGTGATTCCAGGCACTTTGACCCCCAAGCCTGTCAGTTATTTCGGCTCCTCTCCCACTATATGTCTTTTGTGTTGGTGCCCCTTTATGCAGCTGGCATAATATTGACTGTCCCTAATTCTCTTATCAGTGTTTTGGCAATAACCTTTGTACCTTGCCGACTGGCATGTATGATTATGCCTCTTCAACAGTATGTACCATTTCATGTGCTCAAACTCCTCTTTACTGTGACAAAAGTTCAGAATTTCTTGCATTGTCTTCCTCTGGTTTAGAATTTCTTGCATTGTCTTCCTCTGGTTTAGAATTTCTAGCATTGTCTTCCTCTGGTTCAGAATTTCTTGCATTGTCTTTCTCTGTTTCTTTTTCCATGAATCTTTCCCATGGTCACAGCATACTCCGATTTTCTTCTTCTCATAACATGACCAGAAAAATTATGATTGTCTTTTTCTCGTGCTTGTGATAAATTGTCTTTGAGCCCTCGCCTCTTTCAAAACATCTGGGATGCTTATTTTGGCTGTCCAAGGAATTTTTAGTTTGCCATTGCTTGCTAAACAGTCAGCTCTCTGTACTTCTATTGAAACCAATGCGAGACAAATCATCCACGGCTGGGATTGCACAAGGCAACTAAATGATAAAGAGCTGTTGTTATTGTTATACATCTTCTCTTAGTGTTCACCATCTTTCAATTTCAGCAGAAAGTTCTGGTTGCTCTTCTCCACTCCTGGATTTTTTTCTTGCTCCAGAACTTGAGGTTTGCTTGTGCATCTATTTTACAGATCTGGCTTACTTGTATGTAGACTGTTGGTTCCTTGCTTTTTAGGCAGATGCACTCTGACTTTGAAAGAAATTGCCTTAATTAGTGGCCTCCTAAGACATGCTTGTTAGGGGAACAGTGAGTATTCTTTGTTCTCCAGAATGAAGCCTAAAACCTGGTGGGGGGTAAAGGGGGGGGGGGGCGATATTTTAAAGCAAATAACATTAACAGTTGTATATTCTTGTTAGTCTCAATACAGATTTTATTTGCTGGAGAGGGCTTCTGACTCGTCTTCTCTGCATCCCTTACGAGAATCGTGAAGACTTGTTGGTGGCGGTTGTCCGCTTCAGAGGGACATATTTCATGTGTGAGTTCGACACAGAAAGGAAAAAACAGGAGGTTCAGGAGAGGACTCCAAAACAGGAAGAGATGTGTGCCTGGGGGTTCAAGTTTGAGCAGTATGTGACAGCAGGTTAGTTGGTTACCTGTGTGATGTTATGTACCCGCGTGATGCTGACTACACTAATAACAGATGAAGCATATATAATACTAAAGACAAACAGTAATTAAGTCAAGGAAATACAGAGAAAGAAATGTTTACACGCACTAGCAAGGCATTAGCAGCTTTTAAAAGCCCAAACAAAATATGGAACTCTAAATTATTTAGCTTTAGAACCAAGTTACTTATTTTTAATTCTAATGTTATTTCAGTTTTAACATGTCAAATTAGGAATCAACATCATTGCACTCAGGACACCTCCATAAGCAGTCAGTCCCCATCTTCAGCAGAAAGCGAATAGTTATAATTCTGATAGCACCAGTGTCTGATTGTATTTCTGTCTCGCCCTTCTCTTGAGTGTTGAGCATCGGCCAGATCCCCTGGTAACTCCTCGCAGCGCCATTTTCCTCAGATCGTAATGATCTGTTTGTGCTTCTGCACTGTTCACTCGCTGCCAGAGGGCCCTCACAACGTCTGTCTTGCCAGTTATAACATATGCCAGTAGAAGTTTGAGATCCAATAAGGACATGGAATGAAAGCTCAATACATTATGAAACAAATACCTGAGGAAAATGATGAATTTGACATGGGACGAATTGAAGAAGGATGAAGAAAACATTGCACAGGATAGAATAGAATGGAGAAATAGACTGTGAGCCCTATGTGGCATTTAATGGGTAACACTTTCAGTGCTTGACAGCTCTGTCTATATTTATTAGTCTTCATCTAATCAGGAAGTCGCAGTTTCAACTTCATAGCAAACAGGTCACCCCACAGTTGCTCCTTCCCTGTGCCAACAGGTCACCCCACAGTTGCTCCTTCCCTGTGCCAACAGGTCACCCCACAGTTGCTCCTTCCCTGTGCCAACAGGTCACCCCACAGTTGCTCCATCCCTGTGCCAACAGGTCACCCCACAATTGCTCCATCCCTGTGCCAACAGGTTACCCCACAGTTGCTCCTTCCCTGTGCCAACAGGTTACCCCACAGTTGCTCCATCCCTGTGCTAACAGGTCACCCTACAGTTGCTCCATCCCTGTCCCAACAGAAACCCCACAGAATGTACATGACTGTCTCTTGTCAATAAAGTGATTTTATATAATGTCATGTGTTGAAATTAGTGCATTATTTCATATAATGGCATGTGTTGAAATTAGTGCATTATTTCATATAATGTCATGAGTTGAAATTAGTGCATTATTTCATATAATGTCATGTGTTGAAATTAGTGCATTATTTCATATAATGTCATGTGTTGAAATTAGTGCATTATTTCATATAATGTCATGAGTTGAAATTAGTGCATTATTTCATATAATGGCATGTGTTGAAATTAGTGCATTAGTTTAAAGAATGTCTTGTGTTAAATATAGTGCATTATTTCATAAAATGGCATGTGTTGAAATTAGTGCATTATTTCATATAATGTCTTGTGTTAAATGTAGTGCATTATTTCATATAATGTCTTGTGTTGAAATTAGTGCAATATTTCATATAATGTCTTGTGTTAAATATAGGGCATAATTTCATATAATGGCATGTGTTGAAGTTAGTGCATTATTTCATATAATGTCATGTGTTGAAATTAGTGCATTATTTCATATAATGTCATGTGTTGAAATTAGTGCAATATTTCATATAATGTCTTGTGTTAAATATAGTGCATTATTTCATAAAATGGCATGTGTTGAAATTAGTGCATTATTTCATATAATGTCTTGTGTTAAATGTAGTGCATTATTTCATATAATGTCTTGTGTTGAAATTAGTGCAATATTTTATATAATGTCTTGTGTTAAATATAGTGCATAATTTCATATAATGGCATGTGTTGAAATTAGTGCATTATTTCATATAATGTCATGTGTTGAAATTAGTGCATTGTTTCATATAATGTCATGTGTTGAAATTAGTGCAATATTTCATATAATGTCTTGTGTTAAATATAGTGCATTATTTCATAAAATGGCATGTGTTGAAATTAGTGCATTATTTCATATGTCTTGTGTTAAATGTAGTGCATTATTTCATATAATGTCTTGTGTTGAAATTAGTGCAATATTTCATATAATGTCTTGTGTTAAATATAGTGCATAATTTCATATAATAGCATGTTTTGAAATTAGTGCATTATTTCATTTAATGCCATGTGTTGAATATAGTGCATTATTTCATAAAATGGCATGTGTTGAAATTAGTGCATTATTTCATATAATGTCTTGTGTTAAATGTAGTGCATTATTTCATATAATGTCTTGTGTTGAAATTAGTGCAATATTTCATATAATGTCTTGTGTTAAATATAGTGCATAATTTCATATAATGGCATGTTTTGAAATTAGTGCATTATTTCATTTAATGCCATGTGTTGAATATAGCACATTATTTCACATAGTGCCATGTGTTGAATATAGCACATTATTTCATATAATGTGATGTGTTGAATATAGCAGATTATTTCATTTACTGTATTGTGTTGAATATGTAACATCATTTAATATTGCCATGTAATAGATGTGTCACGTTATTTTGCATAATGCAATCTGTTGAATGTGTCACATTATTTCAGATGTCATGTATTGGATATGTTGCTTTATTTTATATAATGCCACCTGTTGAATATGTCACATTATTTCATATATTGTCATATGTTGGATGTGTGTATGTTCAGATTTGTCATTAGAGTGTTAGTGATCAATGTTGTCTATATTTGCAGACAAAAGTAGCGGTGCCAGAGACACAAAATTACGTGTAAATACAAATACGGCATTTTGCAGCGTTGCTCGATCCCGTCTTGGGTCACATTCCATTGGTTAGTTTCCTTGGTGTATTTTTAAATTATGATGATTTCTGTTGGAGATCTACTCTATTTTAACATTATTGGCATAGCCAGGATGAGTAACCGATATGTTTTGAAAGTGGTGATGGCACAAAGTTAGTTATCACAATCCTCATAATTATTTGGCCATCCTGCTATGAGAAGAGGAAAACTTGAACATGTTGTGACCACTAGAAAGATTTGTAGAAACAGAATGATAATGTGAGAAGATTCTTGATAGCCTTTTGTAAAGATGGTTGTCGGCGCATGAACTGATACATACTGCTGATGGTCACAGGTTGCGAAAAGTATGATCGCCAACTTCGGTTGGCAAGGCACTTGATGTTGATGTTATTATTGTTTAATGAAATCTTTACAGTTTGTTAGCCCCACTTATTTTCTGCCGCCTGATAAGACTGAAGAAACTTCCCTCAGCAACATTAGAAATCAGGTGAAGGTAAAGGATCCTTCTCCACGCTTTTAAGGTATTGGGCATATAGGGCTAGACCTGTATTTTATAGACCAGTTAGCACTTGGTGGGTGATGTGGTCAGCATCACCTTGGCTGCCTTTACTTCTCATGATTTTACCTGGTACCCACTCAAGGCTGGGTCAACCTGGGAGCTAAAGTCAGTTTTGTAAAAAAAAAAATTTTTCATTTTGCTTTGTCAGAAACCAAAGTCACAACCTTCCGATCCACAGGCGAGCACCTAGGAGTTACACCACTTGGGCTGATAAATAAGAGAATAGTATAACGTATTCCAAAACTGATCAGTCAGGTGTGACTGCAGTCAGGCTAGTATCCAGAAATTAATCCACTCAACTGAGATTAAGAAACTCAACGAAGGTGAGAAGAGAAAACTCACACACGTGGGAAGAGTTAGACATTTTGGCAACCGCGTATTTCCACACATAAACCACATAACAAGGGCAATAGTATCCTCTTCCTGTATTTTATAGTGTTTTATGTGCTTACCTGGTGGCCAAAATATCCCCCTCCCCCCCTTCCTTAAGTTGTGGTGTTTTGTTGCCAAATTCAGCTGTGGCATGTCTGAGTGTCTGGACCAAACCAGGACCAACAAAACCACAACAGACATGAAATAACCCACAAAGACTTAGAAGCATAAGAAACCAAAAAAGCACAAGAAAGACCCAACAAGGGCAGCGACAGCTTGAAGACAAAGAAGAACATAAACGGGTGTGAGCACACACCACAAAGGAAGATAAAACTAAAATGAATGTACAAAGGAAAATGGACGACAATATAACTCAGATAGGAGCTGGTTGAACATTGCCAAACTTTATCATTTTTGTTTCCTACAAATCTAATTGAAATGTCTGAGTCCCTCCCAATCCTAACTTAGTTAAGCTTTTTAGTTAAAGTTCTGTGGTTTAATTTGATTTATATGATCCTCTCTGTTGTCAGTTGTGAAGAGGCATAATGGCCCATTCTGATCGACAAGACACTTTCTGATGACAGTTTTAGCCCCGTATTTGTTACATCTTAATAAGTGTCAGCCCATATTTTCTGTCTCCCAATTGACTGAACCTTCCCTCATCAAACAAGAAAATAGTACAATAGTAGAACATTCTCCCTTCTGTTGTCAGTGTTTGGGGCTGAGGTGGACTGTCAAGATGGGAACAGTAAGAGAGGAAACGTTTACGTTGAGTTAAAGACATCACGTGTGATTGAATCACAAAGACAATATGAGAACTTCTGCAAGTATGTTGTTCTGTGTCTGTATCACAATCTTTATTCTTTTGACTCTTTTAGTGTTAGAAGACAGTTAAATTAGATATAAATAAGACCATGATTGATTCCTTGGTACCGTTCATTATTTAAGGGGGGGGGGGGTGGTCAGCCATGTTCAACCCTACTAAAAACAGCTTTGGTTATAACTGTGGTCTGGTTTTATGTGCCACTAGTTGTGGCTCAATGTTCCGGACTGTATGTGATGTAACCTTGGTACCCAAACTGTTACACTATTTATACGAGGGTGAGTCAATAAGTAAGTCACAAATGGTTATGGGATGACAAAAAATATGTTTTTGATAGTTTCTAAAGTTGTCATTAGGTGACAGCAACATCAAACTTTATGTCTCCATTAGTTAGGTGGCGCTAGATGTTGCATGGACATTCTCAACATAGAAACAAAATGCTGTTGTGCGTCTTTGTTTATTTGGGCAAAAAGGCAGCCAGCAAAAGACATTCATAAGGAAATGTTTCCTGTTTATGCTGAATTTTTTTTTATAGCGTATAGCAGTGCATAACTGGGTTTAAACAAAAAAAATATTCTCAAGGGCGCTCGAAATTATTGACGAAGTCCAATCTAGGCATCCTAGTGAGATTGCAACAGACTCAACTGTGCAGTGGAGATGATTAGAAGTAACAGGCGAGTAACAGTTGACTCTGTAGCAGCTGCAATAGGGTGCTCACATAGTTCATCATACACCGTAATGCATGAACGATTTAAATTTAAGAAAGTTTGCTCAAGGTGGGTACCCAGACAGTTAATGGATGAACACAAAATGAACCGTTTAGGCCTGTCCTTGCATCATCTCTGTTGATATGCAGATGAAGAGAAGACATGCCGAACAGGATCATTACTGGGAACTAATGGTTGCATTATTATCAGCCTGAATCAAGCATGCTTCAGTGCAATGGAAACATCCTTCTTTGCCTTGTGTTAAAAAATTCAAGGTTACACTATCAGCAGGCAAGGTTATGTTGAGTGTTTTGGGATTGTCAAGGAGTGCTTTTAACCAGTTAAAATAAAATGTGACAGTGTGAATGCTGATTCATACTGTTAAGTTATATCGATGCCTTATGATGCACTTTGAAGAAAAAGTCCAGGCCTGCTGACTAGAGGAGCACTGCCCCTTCATGACAGTGCCAGACCACATAGGGCTCAGTGAACTCAGTAGAAAATTAATCCTCTAGGGTGGGAACTTCTGGAATATTCACTTTACAACCCCGACTTAGCCCCTAGCGATTTTCATCTTTTTGGTCCACTGAAAACCTTCCATGGCGTGAGACATTTCGTGAATGACATAGAAGTTGAATTTGATTGAAGTGAAAATGTGATTTAGAAAACAGAGCACTCAGTTCTGTGCAGCAGGTTTTAAGGACTGATAAAACATTGAGACAAGTGTATTAATGTTGGTGGAAATAATGTTGAAAAATATAGAAACAGTTTATGTATAAAAATAAACGGTTTTCAAGTTGTTATCATGTTTAGTTTTGTTTAAACAATCATTTATGGCTTACTTATTGACTTCCCCCGTACTTCAGCCGCTGCTCCTTGTTAAAAGCATTTGCTGGAGGAAAGAGTGAAGTGAGAACATATAAGAGTGGAAGGCAGCAGTACTTGTGAGTAGACATCAAGGGATGGACTGAAAGAGGTCTGCAGTGCATGCTGATGTTTGCGATGATTCTCTTTTATCTTCTACTGGCTCGCCTCATCGCACGCTCGCTGCCATCTCACAAACCGACATCACTCAACGAGCAGAAAAAATGGACGACTGGAAAACAACACGATACTGTTCCAGTACTTTAATCTTCCACTCGCGGCTTACACTGCCGGCACATGAACTAGACAACTGTCCAGGCACACATTATAATGCAAGTGTCAACTATTACCTTCAAGCAGAAATCACAATCACACTAACATCTTGAACGAAACACAGCAGCTGTCCTGACAGACAAACTCCGACGACCCGCAGACATATTACTGGCCAGCTTTTTTCGCCAAGTTGGACCGGAACAAATTCACTCACAAAAACATCTGCTGAATCCACACATCATCCACCGCTGTCCATGCACACTGTTCCTAGGTCCAAAACGAGACTGCTCACAAACCTTTTCTTCGCTATTATATAGCCCTCTGATCTATCCTGTTCTCGAATATTCTGGATTCATTCTCACGAATTTCCCACTGTTGAAAGTCGTGTCTGGCCCGTGATAATTCACATTTCACACAAATCCTGTGAACAATCATGTTTCACATAAAACCTGACTTTCAGATGTCTCATGAAACTCAAGACATAAATCTCGTGTTATCTCAGCCAGTCAAAACATTCGTCTTACATCTATTACTGACGTCATCTATCGGGCATAAATTAATGAGGAGAAAATGACTCACTACATTCTCCCCCACCCCAAAAAAATGTTTTACATTTTCAATTAATCAGGTGTGAACATTTCACTGAACATTGTTATTCTAGACCTTTGTAGTGAATCATTTTCGACAAGTTCATTTCCAACCAAGTTCCCTTTACCTCATTAGGTTAACAATTCAAACACTCTAAAATGCCATCTGTTGGGTCTTTGCACGACTGTGAATACCTTAATGGGATCCTCACCCCAGGCACTCCCCTTTTAGTGCGGAAGACCAATAATCTGGCTCCATAGGTATCCCCACCCAGTTCTAAAGTCGGTATACAACCGAACCCCTCTCCTGGCACCCCCCGATCGGTGCGGAAGTCCAAAATCTTGGCTCTAAAACCGAAGTGTGACCCCATGAAGTCCCACCCTCGCTATTCCCATTCATGAAAGTCGTCAACAATGGCTAAATCAGCAATGTATGGTTTTGTTCCCAACTATGTAAGGTACAAGATGTAGTTAATTACCTTGTCTTCAGAAACCACAACATGTCTCATTAACACACATATTCAAATTAAATGCTACACCAATTCAATTTAGTATACTAGTAAATGTAACATTTTCTGGTGAGGTGTATTTTAATCCTGAATGTTGTCTCCCTTTAATTGTTTACTATATTATACCCGTTCAAATCAAAACATACATTTTCCAAGTTGTAAATTCATATAATACATTCATACAATAATACAATGCATACCCTTGCATAAAATGATTTCAGTTAATACAAGTTGTAATAGCAGTTGTAACATGTTCTACAAACGTGACATGATATCTGGTAAATGATTGTCTGTTCCTTTGATGTGTTCAATGTTAAATTTGAATTGTGATATCAACAATGCCCATCTATATACCCTTGGATTGCTATTGGCATCAATTGTTAATAATTTTGTCAACCCCAAGTTATCTGTTAAAATAGTGAATTCTTTTCCCAAAAGAAACTTCTGAAACTTTTTTAGACTAATAACTAGTGCCAACGCTTCTTGTTCAAATGTATTGTATTTTTGTTGAGTTTGGTTAAGTTTCTGTGACATATACATCACTGGGAGTAATGTTTGTGAATGTTTCTGCGCAAGCATGCTAGCTATTGTGTGACCGCTGGCATCTGATTGTAGAAAAAATCTTTTGGAAGGGTCAGGTTGTCTCAAAATAGGATATTTTGAAAAACAGTTTTTTATTTTAACTAGAATTTCCTCATGTGTCTCATTCCAATCTGATTTTTTCAATTGTTGATTCTTTAATAACTCTGATAGTGGTGATGTTAGTGTTGCTAAATTTGGGATGAATTTACCGTAATAGTTTATTAACCCTAGTAGAGATTGTAGCTGCTTTTTAGTTTTAGGTTTTTGGATCTTCAAAATTTTTGAAACAATATTTTCATCTGTCTGGACTAAACCTTCGCATATAACATGCCCTAAGTAATCAATTTTGGTGTATGCAATTTCAGTTTTTAAAGGATTTACTGTCAATTTCGCGTCATTTATTCTTGATAGGACTTTTTGTAGGGTAGTGCAGTGATCGTGCAATGTTTTGGTGTGTATACAGATGTCATCCATATATGCTGTGACGTGAGGAATTGCATATAACAGTTTCCTAACCATTTTTGTGAAAATTTTCGGAGCGTTTATTAATCCAAATGGTAAACGCAACCATTGTTTGAGTCCAATTGAAGTTTGAAAGCTAGTATATTTTACAGCTTCTGGTGTTAGTGGTATTTGCCAGTAGCCTTTTGAAAGGTCAATTTTTGTAAAAAATTTTGAGTTGTATAATTCTTGTATGATTTCATCTGACGAAGGGATGGGCTCAGTTTCTAAATAGGTAATTTGGTTTAGTTTCCTATAATCAACACACAAACGTAGTGAACCATCCTTTTTCTTTACTACCACTAAAGGCGAACTGTAGTTTGATGTGGAATCTTCAATGATTCCTTCTTGTTGTAGTTGTTGCAATTCTGATATAACCTTATCGATATAATGGATAGGTATTACATATGGTTTTGATTTCACTGGCACTGATGAATTCAACTGGATATCGTAACTGATTATGTTAGTTTTCCCAGGTTTATTCGTGAAAATATCTTTGTAATGAAAAATGATGCTCCACAATTTTGCTTTTTCATTTTCTGATAGTTCTTCATTTAACTTTATCGATTTCCAGTAGACTTCATTTTTTGTTGATGGTGTTGGAATATCTTCTTCTATAACATCAGGTAACTCTTCATTAATTACATTACATAAAATTGCATCAAGTACATCATCATCTGACATGAATAGTGATCTTCTAAAATATGGTTTAAGCATGTTTACATGAAAAATTTTTTAGCTTTTCATTAATTTTGATTTCATAATCAACATCAGAAATCTTTCTTGTAACAACAAAAGGACCTGACCATTCTATAGATAACTTGTCTGACTTCTTTGGTAACAGTAATAACACTTCATCACCAGGGTTATATTTCACAAGTCTTGCTATTCTATTCGCATATTGTCGCTGTTTTAGACTGGCTTCTTTCATTGCTTCGTTTGCTTGTTGACAAGCAATCATTATTTTATTTCTCAGATCTGTTACTGATTCATAAGCTGATTTTTCTGTATCCGTTTCTGTTTTTCCTGTGATAAGCTTATTATATAGCTGCAATGGTCCTCTAGGATTTGCCCCATATACAAGTTCAAATGGCGAAAAACCTGTTGAGCTATGAGGAATTTCTCTATATGCAAACATAATGGCAGGTAATAAAGTATCCCAAGACTGCGGATGTTCAAATGATATTCTGGCAAGCATTGTTTTTATGGATTTATTTAAATTTTCAACCAAGCCATTCGCTTGTGCGTGATACGGTGTTGTAAAATTTTGTTTAATTCCTAACCAGTTATTAAAAGCTTTTGTAGCCCAAGATGTAAACTGAGTACCTTTATCAGAAACAATCACTTCTGGAAAACCCACCCTTGAAAAAATTGTTAGCAATGCCTCCTGAATATCATTTGATGTTATAAATTTCAGAGGTACACACTCAGGCCATTTTGTGGCAACATCAATAAAAGTTAAAATAAACCTGTTTCCCTTTGCTGACGTCACTGGTAATGGGCCAACAATATCAATTGCAACTTGTTCAAATGGTCTTGATGCTATCAGACCTATTTGCACTGGAGCCTTTTTTTGGAGCCTTTGGGTTCTCTCCTTTTTTGTGTGGTTTTAGCACAGGTATCACAAGATCGAACATAATTTTTTACATCTTTAGAAAACCCAGGCCAATAAAATGTAGATAGAATCCTCTTCTTTGTTTTTGTTATTCCCATGTGCCCCGAGAAGATGGAATCATGTGCTAAAGATAGGGCTTTTGGTCTGAATTTTTGTGGTAGTACCGTCTGTTTATAGACTTTTGGACCTTTCTGATATATTCTAAGTAGTACATTCTTTGATACAATAAATTTCCATGTTGCAAATTTCTTTACTACTGGGTCTGTATGAACCAAATCAAAACATTTCTTTAGTGATGGATCAGATACTTGGGCATCTTGAAATTCTCTTTGGCTGTTAATATTTTCTTTTGTAATGGGTACCAGTTCTGTAGTTAAGTTCTCTTCTCTTAACTTTTGTTGTATGGTATCAGTCATGCTTCTGGTTACTGCAGCAGCTAGTTGGGGAGCACTTGGGTCAGACAATTGTATCAAATCAGTTTTACATGATTGAAAATTATCATTTTCACATAATTTAACACTGGATGAAACTTTTAGGTTTGATGGGTTATTTACTTTCTCAATATTCATCATTTCTCTTTCATTCAGTACGATTGGTGTCTCTCTAACACCTAATAACTTTTTCTCATCTTTTGCATTCTTTACTTCTTTCATACCGATATTCTCAAATTTTTCATGACCAATCAACTGTTCCCTGTTTTGGACGCAATCACTTTCATTCATTTGTACTACTGCATTCACACTATGGCAAAAATCTTGATCACTGGTATTCAGTTTCTCTCTTTCTTTCAATTCCTTGATGTTTTCTTTTTCCCACTGAAAAATTTCCTGTTCAGACATTTCTCTCAGACCTTTTTCATTCCCCAAAATTAAACCTGTACATGGTGCTGATAGAACGGCTACTTTCAATCTGCCTTGAAAAAAAGGTGTTTTAACATTAACAAATGCAAGTTTATATTTCTCAATTGTGCCTCCAAATGTTCTGCAATTTACATGTTTGTTAGTAATATCTTCAGGTTTGATAAGATCTTTGTGGATACCTGAAATTGTGGCGCCCGTGTCTCTCAAAATGGTGGTTATTCTTCCATTTACAATTCCTCTGTATAATTTTAAGGTTCCGTGTGTATTTGTGGCTGAGTTGGCTTCTTGTACAGGTATATTATGGCCACATGGAAGGCTATCTTCCTCATGGAACTGTTGACATACAGGGCAAGTTTCAACAGTTACTGCATTGGTCTCAAATGGTTCGGTGTCTGAATCTGAGTCTGACATTGCCTGTGATATGTTGGCTTCCTTAAATTTTCTTCTAAATAAACAGTCTTTTTTCACATGATTATAGCAACCACAATTGTAACATTTAATGGCATCTTTATACAATCTCAACCTCTGTGTTCTTCTATTAAACAGTTTGTCTACATAGTCTTTATAACACGGATTTCTATCACACATTTTGTCGTTCGGATGAGATTTTTGACAATATTTGCAGTACGTCATTTGCCACTTTTTGTTGAACGTGGTTTTGTTTTTGTGTGGGTTTGCCCCTTGGTTGTATCTGCCTTTGTCATAACTGGCACTAGCTCCAGTTTCAATGTCTGGTACTGGGTTGGAAATGAAGATTTCACGATGGGCTGAAAAATAATTCTCATCTAAGTTCTCTAACTCCTTCAATGAGGTTGGTTTATTTTCTCTTAAAAAGGTTGACATAGGTTTAGGTAAAGATTCCAACATTTTGTTCCTTAATAATAAATCTACTAATAATTTATAATTATCTCTAACATTGGCCGAATCAATCCATTTATCAAAAATATTCTGAACTTCCGAAAAATAGTCAGTGAACGTCTGATCAGACTTTGGCTTTAAATCCAGAAACTTTTTCCTATACCCTGCTTCATGTAGGTCATAGTGTCGCATGATGCGATCTTTAATATAGTCAAAGTCTAATCTTAAATGTTCAGGGACTGTTTCTAAGATCTTCAATGGTTCAAATGCTAAATGTTTTTGAAAAATAATGGCCCACTGGTCTTTTGGAACATCATGAAAGCGCATTTGCAAAAGAAAGCTAGATATATAACTACCAATGTCATCCTTTTCCGAGAAATTTCTAACTATACCTGCATACTTTTTGAATTTATTTTCTTCTTCTTTTAATTTTTCTTTTTGGATAGCAGCTTCTCTTCTGGAGTCATTTTCCATTTCTTTAGTTCTGATTTGTGCTTCTGTCTTTTCTTTTTCAGTCTGAATTGACGCAGCTATCTTCTCACGTTCCAAATTCAATTCTTGTTCTTTTAATATTCTGGATTCATTCTCACGAATTTCCCACTGTTGAAAGTCGTGTCTGGCCCGTGATAATTCACATTTCACACAAATCCTGTGAACAATCATGTTTCACATAAAACCTGACTTTCAGATGTCTCTTATGAAACTCAAGACATAAATCTCGTGTTATCTCAGCCAGTCAAAACATTCGTCTTACATCTATTATTGACGTCATCTATCGGGCATAAATTAATGAGGAGAAAATGACTCACTACAATGTTCCTAAACCATTTTTCACCCGCAGCCCATCAAAACAGGGGAAATTTTGCAGCCCACCTGACAACTAACTACAAAACAAAACCAACTGTGGATAGCAGTTCATTGACATCTGCTGCTGTTGCTTAGATGTTAGACAATCTGATATATATGGCTGAAGCGTTGTTTCTGCTAGACAAAGCACTGTAAAAGCATGCATTTAGTTTCTCATTTTGATTTTTAATAACTGTTTTATACAGTTGAACGAGTTTCCAGAATGTGTACCTGTTCTATTCTCATTCTTAAGATGTTCCTACAGGCTGAAATCTTCGAAGAGAATATGCAACTGCCAGACCCCATTACATGATTCAGCAGACATTTTTAGCAGCCCAACTGGGGTGGAACTTTTCCATGAGTCGCCCATGTATCGGCTGACATGCCATGACCCAGTGACCTCTGTCATTTAGGCCATGTGAAAAATTTGATGTCAAATTGGCTTTAAAATAGCTATTTCGCTCAGAGAAAATGCAGTCTTATCATGACCTCCTAAATGTTTGCACAGGCGCGGAAACGGCCAATATCTTGAACTGAGAAACTCATAAATAGGTCAGTATAGATAGGTCATAAAAGTGACATTTAGGGGGAATGGGGCCAGACCAGTTGTGTCAGGATTTGCGGTTTCTCTGGATAAAATGGTTAATAAGATGGCACTTGATGACGGTAGAATACTGACTTCCTAAACATTCTGGTTCGCTTCATCTCAACAACAGGTTCAAACTCATAAAGTGGTGGGCTCAGAGCTTCCTGATTGGTATCCCACGGATTGTGTGTGGCTTCCGTGATGATAATGGAGTAGTCCAGACTTTACAGAATTACCCAGTTCATGAAATTCCAGCTATGGTGAAAGTAAGTGTTCTAACCAAAGAGGAACTGAAGGTGTAAGGCTGTGTTGTGATAGCTAGGTAGTTAGTCAGTGTGGTGTTATGTCATTAGTTGTGTAATGTATTTATGGGGACTCTCTTGCTCTTCTCTCCAAGCTTAGAAACCTGCAAGTGTATATGTCAGATACAGGAACTTCACATATGGGATATAGCCAGGCCATGATCCCACACAGATTGCATGAATGTTGAATCAAGAATTGAGATCACAGAACACATTCTCATAATTGCTCCGTCCCTATCTATCCCTATCAGCAAGCGTGGAAATCCGATTCTGATGATAGCAGTAAGTCTGATTGTATATTGATCTCACCTTTCTTTTGAGTCTTGTGCATCAGCCAGACCCCATGGTCACTCCTTGCAGCACCATTCTCCTGAGCCTGTGGTGATCTGTTTGCACCTCTGAACTGTTAACTTGCTCTTAAACAGGCCTTTACATCTAGCTAACTGCCCGGGGCCTCTCAAGCAATGCTTGCCACTCTGCGTGCTGCATATCTGCCTCCACCTTTCTCAGCATTGCTGTGAGTCATTTACTCGTACAGTCAGAGAATAGGTTAATCTGAGATTTGATCAGAAACCCTGCCTCTCTTCCTTTGCACCCATTTGTGGCTGCATTAATGTATTCGACATTCAGATCAAAGAATTAATTCTCCTGGGTGGGTTCTGGAGCCTCATTTGAGGGAGAGGTGAGAGAAAAGAATAGCCCCACTGCTGCCCTAACAAGCATGTTAAAAATTTTTAAAAAGTCAACAAATTAGGGTTGTCTCCTTCAAGGTTGGAGTTCCTGAGCGGGAAGGAACTGTGCGTACATATAAGCCAGACTTTTAAAATTAGTATGCATGTGAAACTCAAGTTCTGGAACAGGAAAAAGTCCACAAGTGAATGAACAATGAAAACTTTCCACCAGAGTTTACAATCGGTGAGCGCGAAGAAGAAAATACAGTTTTTGAAGTGACTAGTTCAAGTGACTGTGCAACTTCAGAATTCATTGGGAAAACTAACTTAACTTCAGAATTCACTGGAATGTTTGGCTAAATTGAAGAATTTATTAGAATAATTAATCAACTACAAAATTATTTTGAATAATTAACTAGCTTCAGGATTAAGTTGAGAAAATAATTTTAAAATTTAAATTAAAGATTTTAGCAGAGAAATTTATTAAATTAGGTTGAAGAGTTTACTATCTTCAGTTAAAAAATATATTTAAGTTACATCCTTTAATAACTTCATTTGGAGAATGTTTAAGTTTAAAAATAGACATCCATATCTAGTTACATCAGTGCTTCCGTACAATCATTGTATATTATTTGTAAGTTAATATTGTCATAATGCATTAAAGATCATGTTGAGTATTCGAAGAGCGTCATTGTTTCCTCAGGCGTGTGTTCGCCAGCCATGGAAGCCCTCTGTCTGCTTTAATTTTCTAGAAGCCTTCTTGCAGTTTGTCAAAGCTAACATCACCACCGACGATGAGAGGTAGTTAATGTTTGTTTTCTCTGTGTAGTTACATTTCTTTGCTTCTTCTTAGCATTCCCAGGTTTACAGCCAGTGAATGCCGAGAAGACAAGAAAGTCTGGATGTTTGTCCACTTCTGAACTTGCCATTTTCCAGAAACTGAGTTTTGCATGCACATCTGTTTTACATATATGGCTTATTTGTATGCAGATTGCTGGTCCTCACCTTCATGCAAATGCACTTCAGAAGAAACACCTTAATTAGTTGCTCTTTATGGCATAGTTGGCATATTTGGCTTAGATGTACGAATGCGCTTAGTAATGCAGAGTTTGATCCCAGCTGTGGACATTTGTCTTGCATTGGTTTTGTCAGTGATACCGAGAGCTGACCATTCAGTAAAATGGCAAACTGATAAAAGTAAAAATTTGCCTAGAAAAACCACAACAGCCCAAACAATGCTGTGGTTAATTTTGCAAGATCCTATAATGGATATGCAAATAACATGATGTGTGGGGATAAAGGAAGTAGGTCTATTTCCCCACCCCCTTTTTTTCCAAAGAGGGTCCAGAAACCTCCACACGGGATAATTGTATTTAATTAGAAGTTAATATCTCCTCATATTTTCTTGTTCTCAGTTAAGTTGTTTCAAGACCATTTTCCTGGCTTTTGGACAGACTTATGTGTCTCATGACAGAGATTGGAACACTGCCATGTAATATTCATAAAGACAGCAGTGGATACACTGCAGACAACCTACATTGTGGAGAGGGCACTAAACAAACAAGAAGTTGTATATAACCAAAGGTTTAGAGTGCCTTCATTAATTGTATGTCCACTTCATTAATTTGTCTAGTGTAGACAGTAATACTGTACTTGTTTAGTAGACTACAGTAAGTCCCACGACTGTTCAACTCAGAGATGTGGATTTTCTAGCACATTTGGTCTACTACTTGAATCATTATAGCAGGAAGAGTAAGCAGTCAGTTAAAAGTTGAGACGTCGATTTTATTGCACCTGGTTTTATCCCACATAGGTCAGTTTCTCTCCACAGAAAAGGTAGTTGGCTGCCGAGGGTGTCACACAAAGCACAAACTCCAAAGTTCTGGCAATGATTCTCAGGGATCTCATAAAAATTGTGTTTCCTGTGTCCACAAACTAAAATGAACCCATGACCTTCAGAGCATAAGGCAGACGGCTTGACCACTTCACCATGGGAGTAAAACAGTTACTTCTGTCTCCATACTTGAGTTAACACAACAAAATGATAATGTTAACAAAGTTATTACATTAGATAAAAAAATAGACTGTTAACATAAATATGTATGTGTATATACATATAATATCAAGAAAGTTGTCAGCATAGCAAACCAAGATTACTGGTTATTTGTTGTTGTTGTAGGTGTGTGTACCTGTTCCGGTGGCAGCCAGGATCTGATGTCATCTGTCAGAGACAAGGAGATGATCCAGAGTTCTATTTTCTTCCAGACTGGTTTACTTCGTGGGACGCCTGGGGTACCCCTCTTTCCCAGGATCACCAGTAACATGCTCTCCTGCCATATCATTTTATATTGGAAGCAGCCACCTTGTTAAGATAATGAAGTTGTGTCTTCGTTGTGATGGAAGCAACCAGATTGTAAAGATGTTGATAAAGCTGTGACTTTGTTATAATGGAAGCAGCCAGTTTGTAAAGATAATGAAGCTGTGACTTCGTTGAAATGGAAGTTGAGGAAGCTGTGATTTCTTTCTAACGAAGCAGCCAAATTGTGAAGATGATGATGAAGCTGTGACTTCGTTATAACGAAGCAGCTAAATTGTAAAGATGCTGATGATGTTGATGACATATAGTACGTTGTGTATAACGAAGCAGCCACATGGTGAAGATAATTATGAATTATTGTTGTTTTATATAACACATCATATTTTTAATATCTTGATGCTATGTTGTGATGTTATGAGACAATCACATTCGGAACATTTTGATGCTGCACCGTAACTGCTTCATATTTTATCTGTACTAAATAAAATGCAGGGCCGTCATTATCATTCTATATAATTCACTCGTGCTTTGCTTCATAGTCATCAAATTTATCTTCTACAATTAATTCTTGCTCGGAAGATTATGGGTTTGTGTCATGGCTGGTGTCGATAATTTCTGAGTGCCTTTTGTGATGAAGATCCCTGAGGCTTGATGCTGGAGCTATGAAGTTCATGCTTTGTGCAGCTGTCTGTTGTGCCTAGAGAGAAACTGAGCCACCTAGGATAAACTCCTTTCAGCCACATTGTGAAGTTGTGACATTGTTCTAATGGAGCAGTCACATTGTGAAGATCCTGATGAGGCATTTATGGACTGTCTCCTTCCAGCTGCACCAATCATGTTCAGTAGTGAGCTGATAAAAATATGCAGATGCACATCTAAAGGATTAAACACACTTCTATGTTTTAACTCCTTCGCCCTTGAATGCTATAAAATGGGTCATGAGTCCATGAGAATTTTAGGGGAATAAAATCTCTTTAAAAAATGTCAACACGTTAATTTAAAAAAAAATTTCAATTTATTTACCACTTCTTTTTTTTTTTAAACCTTTGTTTAATCAGTAAACAAGAACATAGTAACTGGAGTGCATTCCACTGGGTCTTAAACTATGTATCATATGGCTCATGCTGTGACCTCTATCACTGAGGTTTACTGACAAATGTCAAGTCAGCCTGGCTTTAAAAAAGCTATTGACTTGACAAGGAAACCCCTCTAAATACTACATTTAGTTAATATATTCACATCTGGGCCTCGTAAACACTGTTCAGGCATAGAGCTAGTGGCATTTGACTAAGCTTTTCGAGAAGAGGTCACTGCAGAAATGTTGATGTATCAACATTTATAGGGCTGTGTCACAACTGGGCAGTACGGTTTAATCTTGTTATTTGGTAACTCAAGAGTGTCAGACTTTTCTAAACAATTTCTTATTTCGCAGTTATTACTTAGTAAAACATTTTTGATTCAGGTATATTACAAATAATTACTCTAGCTAGCAGAAGGTTAGCACTTGAAACTAAACAGCAGTGGAACAGAGTAAATTCCAGACATTTGTGCCAAGCAGCACTGATTGGGTACCAACTCTATACGCCCAAAACACCTGCAGAAAGGCCATTTACTTTTTTTTTTTTTTTAAATAAATCTTCACAATGAAAATTAGTCTACAGTGGACCTTGCCATCATGAGACTGAGTCCCTGAGTCCCTTCCACGAAGTGACTCTCATACCACTGTCCCAAACCATGAGAATGGTTTTAAAAAAAATGAAGGGCAAAAACCACCCACTGCAGAAATGGAACTCGACACTTGAGAATTGTAAAGCTGCTCGTCGCATTCACTAGCCTTGAAGCTGCACCATACACCTTTAGCTGTGTAATGATGAAAATTTTCTGCAGTTCTACATTAGAAGATGGACACACTTCAAATGTTGAAAATGACATTAGTTTACATACACATGACTCTACACATCATGTGGCACAGGCCTGTTCGTCTAATCAAACTGTAAAATATAATACAATACATTCAAGCACTTCTGTTACATTACCATCAACAGGATGTTATTTCAATTAACAGTGCACCGCAGGCAAATTCAAAGGTGCTTAGCCTTTGTCATCGCTGGGGAATCCTTGCAGGCATCAAGTAATGAATATATTTATGGCATTGCTTGACACTGTCAGTGAAAGATTTACAAAAGTACATACTCAGACACTGCTTGGTAATAACAAAGTGCTAGTGACCAGACATTTCAAGTTCTGTTAATGCTAAGCAACAATATATTCAAAGAGATGCTAAGCACAGACTAGAGATTTAAAGTGTTGTTAGTGCTAGGTAACACAACAAAAATTTAAGAGTTGCTAATCACAGACCAGTCATTTCAAGAGTTGCTATATTTCAAATGATGTTAATGCTAGGCAGCAACATATTTAAAGAGTTCCTAGTCATAGACCAGATAGGTCAGATTCAACACTTGGGAGTGCCAGGAAATAAAAGAGCAGATTTTCTGACTCATGTAACAAAATTGGCACCATACAGGGCACCACAGAGAACAATGTTATACAGATACAATGGTAACAAAGCCAGAGGTCGACCACGCAGAATATGGACTGCAGAAATATCAGAAACATTGAAAAGTACTTTATACGAAGAGAACAGAAGGACCCGTTCCAGGGATCTCTTCCTGCTCTGATGCCGCTAGGCATTCCAGGAGTAGAGAAAAGAAAAGCAGAACAACAATTGTTGGCAGCCGATGCATCTCTAAATCAATCAATTATGATACAACCTAAAGCTCAGTGTGATACACAAAATAGCAGATACTGGTGCAAATGATTTCATTCGTCTTCATCTTCCAGCAATGTAGATTTCAAACTTGCAAACTGTCCATGCACCATCTCCATCACAGTGAGTGCCTGAAGTATAAAGAATAATTGTGAATATTTTGCATGTGTTTTTATCACTAGAGCAATGCAAAGTAGATCTGTGAATAAGTTTTATTATTTTATCAAGACATCCAAAAACTGGGCCTGAAAATTTGTTATTAGTTTATCATTGGAGACATAAAAATGGGTCTGTTAACAGATGTATTTATCGCTAGAGAAATAGAAAGAATAAATCTGAAATTCTTTTTTTATTTGTTTATTGGTCTGTTTGTTTTACTCTTTTACTTCCTACCTAGAAGCCCAGTGAACACAAGATGTGCCGATTTTACATCTCCCCTAACTACCCCTTGGACCTCTGATGCTAAACCCCCTTCCCCTGAGACTGAAAGAGTTGAAAGGAAAGATGGACAAAATCAATATAGAGATATCTTGGAAAAGCTGCCAGAGTAATAAGAAGGGATGTACTCAAACATCAAGAAATTAGAAGCAGAAATGAAACCAGTCATGCGGTTCATTAAAGAGCAACATATGAGATGGTTTAGCCATCAGAAAAGCATGCCCTGGGAACAGCTGCCATGGACAACAACGCTGAAAAGAAGAAAATACAGAACAAGGGGGAAACCATGAAAATATGGAATGACGACATCAACAATGAACTTGAAGAAATTAAGATCAACATTTGCAACACATAGGAAAGTTTATACATAAAAACCTAACATTTCCTTCCACCCTGTCCTAACATTTCCTTCCACCCTGATGAGGTAATTGGAAGAACAGAAGAAATAATATATGTATGTCAGCACATGTGGTTATACAATCAAGTGCCATATCTCCAGTAAAGGCTGACTGCATATGATCTCCAACCCATTCTTTTACTCATCTAGTATCACACTCAGACACAAATTTGACCATCTCATGATTTTGTCTCCCCTCTTGTGTTGCTGTCTACCTCTTACCACATTTCTAATGTTAAATCACTAGTGTTGTTTTTATTAATCTTACCTTAATGTGGTCACAATAATTGGGATGTCTTCTAATATTTCTCCCATCAGTCAAACAGCCATGCCCAGATCCAGCTACTGCTGGGCTCTAATCAGCAGGCCCTATACAAAACATTGATCTCTTCCCAGCACACCTGGAAGTCTCTCGCTACCAGTTCTCTATCGCTGTGGGCTTTCATAGCCGATGCATGGTCAATCTCCTGTATCCAGATTTGTGGAGGTCAGCCTCGTTTTCCAAAAATCCCCCCCCCCCCCCCCAAATCATTTTCTCTAGACCATCATGGCACCTGACATGTCTAAAATACTTCAGTTTTCGGTGGAGGATGCTGTTGACGAGCCAGTTCTCCTTGCTGTTCAGGTCATGCAGAATGCCTGCGCTTTTCTTCTTCTTGGTTCACAGTATTCTAAGAACTTTTCTATAGCATTTTACTTTGAAAGCTCCAAATGTCTTCATCAAAGACACACAGAGAGAGAAAGTCCAGGACCCACGTCCGTTGCCACGGGAAAGATGTATGATTTCAACAGTTTTACTTTCACTTGCTTGCACCGGTGCTTGTGCCTTCACATTCATGTAATCATGTTTGTTTGCGCTCCCCAGCTGTAAACTCTGACAGCAAGTCCTAATTGTCTGTCCAGTTCTGGACTTTTGACACCCCCCCCCCCCCCAGCTTACACCACAAAAGAGGTAAACACAGGTAGTGATGACAATCATTACTCTGTGGCTGGTTAATTCTTGTGTCTCCTGTATTTTGCTCAACGCTTACTTTCATCTGAGAGTCTCAGCTGTTTGTTACTTATTCTCAAATGCGACAGTGAAGGGCATTTTTGTGATTTTTATTGGCCCAGAATAGGAGCAGTTACTGGCCAACTCAATTGCCTTGAAGTTGAAACCCCAGCTACTACTTGTGTTTTCACCTAATATCTATCTACTGGTTGTAAAAGAGAAGAATAACAAGAAAGAACCAGTAGTACCTCTGCTACAGCATCAGCGATCTCCCTTTGATGGTCAGCTTTTTTCTCCTCCACAATCCTCTCCAGATTGGACAACTCCTTGTAACAGGCCACAGTTGCCAGACCACCCTGGGTTGCTTCTGTCTCCAGTTTCTGGACGATCTGTTTCCGTTTATCCTGATGTCTGGAAAGAAAGAGCAACTGACAGTCAGGGTAACCCCTAGCCTAAAAAAGTACTGGGTTACATCTTCGCCGTGGCGTTCAGCCCCAGTAAGATCTGGCTGACCGCCCACGTCTGAACTTTTGTCTTGTTCCAGAACTTGAGATTTGTGTGCAATCCATTTAATAGATCTGTCTTATTTGTATGCAGACTCTTGCTTCCCCGCCCCTCAGGTAGAAGACGCCCCTTAGGTAGAAGATGCACTTCAGCTTGGAAAGAAATACCCCTAATTAATCTCATTTTAGCACCCCCCTCCCCTTTAAACATGCATAATGGGCCTGGGAACCCACTCTAGGAACAAGGTGACAAAACAACCCACAAAAAAGCCCCTAGGCTGGCAAGAGATGAATGAGTACAATTCTAAAGTGCTCAGTTCTCGTAACTATTGTTGACTTAGTGCTTTAAATACTGGCCTATGATTGTTTTAACTTAACTTCTTCTACACTGAGAAGTTTAGTTTTAAAAGGAGTAATAATAGGCCAGTAACGAAAGAGTTCAGTCAAATATAGTTGCTGCAGACCGAGCAGCATCTGATTTTTAAAAAAAAACGTGAAAATAATGACTTAAGGGCAGAAGGGGTAAAACTAACAAATCAGATATAATAACAACTGACTGGGAGGTGTGGTGGCTATACAGCCCTGCATAGAATATCCTAAACAGTATAGCAGCCCTGCATACAGTGTCCAACAGGTCTAACACAGTATAAAACGACTTTGCATACACTGTCTTGTCATTAAAACACATTAAAAAAAAAATACAATATCCTGTTGGTCCAACATATTTTTTTAAAACCCATAACACATTTTTGAAAAACCCATACAATATCCTGTCTGTTACAGTAATGATGCTATAAATAGGGATAACGTCAGGGTATGACTGGCATAATTGGGTAAGTCCCTGATAGCATGGGTTTCACGGAGATATGGTGAAAAGACAAGAGTGAGTGAGTCACGTGTGAATGCGAGATCTGGGGGATTGAGAATGAGGTGGTCATTCGGTGACTGGGCCCCAGATTGGAAGGATGTGAAGCTGAATCTGTGAAGGTGAATCCAGAGTGAAGAGTGCACTTGGATCTAAATCAGAGTCGAATGAATGTTAGTGCTGAACGACAAGACAGGCAGCACTATTTAATGATCGTTTAGGCCGTGTTACACGGTTTGTTTGTTGAGCCAGTCATGTACATGCCAGTGTCCGTCGTCTGAAGCATGTCTGGAGACTCAATGCTTGAGCAAGGCGAGATTGCCCGAATGTGTTAATATCAAGTGTTAGTTGTTATGCTAAAGTTGTTAGGAATGTTACAACATTAACTTATCAGTTATTCGCAATACAGTTGAATAGACAGCCAACGAAACTGAACTGTGATCAGGGGAAAATGATAAAATATACGTTTCGAACAAAAGGCATTAGCTATTGTGATCAGTTAAAAAAATTCAAGAAATTCCTAATCGGAAAAGAATTTACAATTATTATAGATAATCTTGCATTGGTAAAACTGCAGAACATAGATGCTAATAAAAACGCTAGAGTTTACCGTTGGGCATTATTATTACAACAGTTTAAATTTGACATTATGCATGTTGAAGGGGTTGATAATCACATTCCAGACACTATGTCCAGGTTATAAAGATAGTAAGGAGAAATAATCAAAAGGGGAAATAAATAGAAAAGGGAGATTATTATAGTTAACAGGCTAACATTACTAACAGATGTTCAATAAACGTATTGTTACTAACAATTTAATATTCAATTAAAATAAATGTTGTATGATGTGATGATATGAAAGTTATGATGTGAAAGTGATAATGATAAATGGTGTATGAATTCATAATAAAACTGAGAGATGGTGTATGAGTTCATAATAAAACAACAGACACATTAGGTTATAATAGAAATTTGATTTTACAGGGAATTACAGATGTTGCTCGGTATCATGACATCCTTTTCAGGGCGTAATTTTTTTTTTATTTGAAGCCCCACTCTGGCTTTTGCCAGGGGCTGCAATATAGCAGGCCATAAATATGGCCAATTGTCTGAATGCGGTTTCTGGGACCTCTCCACGGTGATCCTCACCCACATGGTGGCACTTTGTGTCATCGGGTGTTTATTGCTTGTGTAATGTCCTAGTGGGGTAGAAAGTCAGTCAGTCAGACAGATGTTACATAGGAATTTGGAAATGACTATTATATAGTGTACACACATAATATTATTATTATTATTATTATCGATCACCGGCTGTGAATTCCAGTGGAAGGTCCAGGTTAATCGTCCGCTTGGACTTTTGGCTTTCACCTGGACCTGATTTTTGCGTGTACAACCGTTTTTCATTTCCCTGCCTCATGGGCAGCTGTACTCCGACTTCGAAGGAAGACGTCAGGCCTATTTCTAGGGTGACTGTGGCCATTGTTTTGTGTGGGTCGAGACGTTGCCTGACTTGTGTGGTGTCCACTTTGTCTCCTTCGCCGCAGGTATTGCCTCCGGAGTACCCCTTTGGGGCAGCCCCCTGTGGAACAGTAAGCCCTCAAGGGAAGGCAGGGGCAGATCATGGGCATTCCCCGCCATCCAAGGAGGCTTCCATGCATGCAGAGCCGGTACATGGCGCTCTGGTTCTGGGCTCACCCAAGGAGTCGTCACGTCCTGCACATGCCTGCTTGACCTCACAACCGTATCATGCCTCCCGCTCGACAGGGGCTGCGCCCTCTGGAAGTCAGCGGGGAGCAGCCCGTGGGTTTTGGACTTTTGTGACCACACAGATAGGTACATTCTTTTTTTTCTTCGCACGTTTGATTTCTTTGACGAGCCGTTAGCTTGACATAATTTTACATCCTGCATCAGGCATATCGTTATCAGTTTTGTCCCAACACTCGGGCGAGTGGGGTCTTTGGGTGTGGACATTCGATCTTTTTCAGTTCAATACAAATTTTGATGGTCAGATTTTGATCCGTATGATCTAGTTTTGTCGGACATTTAGGCTTAGCCATCTGATGGATGGTTGCTGTTGTGGTGTACCTCAGCGCGGTGACAACGACACTGAGGGTTAACCGAGGATGTACATGAATGGCCAGCCTATGGATGGTTGCTGTTGTGGTGCACCTCAGCGCGGTGACGACGACACTGAGGGTTAACCGAGGATGTACAAGGATGGCCAGCCTATGGATGGTTGCTGTTGTGGTGTACCTCAGCGCGGTGACGACGACACTGAGGGTTAACAGAGGATGTGCAGTGAACAATGTTCTCTTTACTCCGCAGTCTTTTAACTAAGGGTTATAATTTTGGCTGTACGTTTGGCAAACCTACTCATGTTCCTAATGAGTTTTGATAACATTTTTCACCCAAGCGTTTGGGGGCGGGCTGATGAGAGCCACAAGGACACATCACCTCTGGGGGCCGCCGAACTCCGAGATCCCCTGACAGCTCTGTTAATGCTCATTTGAGACATTATCCGTGGCGCACGACGAGGACGTGCTGTAGGGGTTTTGCGTGAGGTTCCGTACAACCAGGATAGTAAAGGACTGGCGCCCGAGTGACGTACGGAGTATCTCCTTATACACATCATGTTGGACTTAACTTCCCCTCACGCCTGTGACATAAATCACCGCGCCACACACATAAAATGAAGTTTACACAATGCTGAAAATAGGAAAATTCTGGCAAAGCTTTTGGTATAAACCATGGTAAATGATGAATACCAACAAGGAATAGCAATCACTTTGAATGAACTGTCAACAAGAACTTGGTTCTATGGGGGACATACAGAACTTTGTGACCTATAAGTCTGGTTTTGGAGCCATTTTTGGACTTCTGCGTTGTTGAGGAACACTTTGGGGTGTTGCTCAGTCTTATTAGAAAGACTTACTTCAGGACTTGATAAGTACGTCACAGAGCCTATATGGTCGTCCGCGTTGTTTGAGGAACGCTTTGGAGAGATGATTCTGTTAGCATATTGCCAAGAACTGTCAAGGGGAATGACAAGAGATGCTACATATGTTGTACAAGTCAGAAAACTTATGGTAGAATTTCAGCTTAAAGCTAACAGTAAAAGAATAATAGGAAAATAAGGCAATATATTCTTATATGAGAATTGTTATAGGTTTATGGGAAAAAAAATATTGCACGTGGATCTGAATCAGAGTCGAATGAATGTTAGTGCTGAACGACAAGACAGGCAGCGCTCTTGAATGATCTTTTAGGCCAGCCGTTGTGTTACACGGTTTGTTTGTTGAGCCAGTCGTGTACATGCCAGTGTCCATCGTCTGAAGCATGTCTGGAGACTCAATGCGTGAGCAAGGAGAGATTGCCCGAATGGCGTAAGTTAGTTCATCTGTTGATTCATGTCTTGTGCTACATTGACAATAAACCTGTGAAATGTGTCAGCTGTTGTCGACCGTCATTTGAAGTTGTGTGGCCGTGGAGAGAAGTGCCGTCTGGTTAGAATGAACTGTGACCTAACATCTAGACAACAGAGTCAGTGTTGAATCTGCACTAGAAGGATCAAGTGTGGAGGAGACACATTACATTCATTACAGTTACCCTAAGCCCAACCTCTCTGCATACTTACTGCCGATGATCTGTGATCTGCTGGTATATGGCATGGTCCCTGACATCGATCTGGCTAGTCAGTTTCTGTTTCTGCTCCTCTCGAACCCTCAGCTTCTCTGCAACATCTTCCTCTTGCATACAGTATTTGTTGTACAGCTCCTTCTGCTCATGCAATGCTTCTGCCTGCCTCTGTATGTCAGCAATGATCTCACTGTAACGACACAAGCTCTTCAACTCAACAATGGCTTCATCTCTACTTGCTTTTTCAAACATATTAATTACCTGACTGATTGTGAATCCCTGGGGGAAGTGGCAAGGGAGTTTTCTGTGCCAAAGTAAACAGTCGAGATCTGAAGGTCAGGAATTTTTTTTTTCTCAGACTGCTTCATTTCTTAATTTTTGTTCTGCGAAAATTTGGGAGATGCCTAGAGGTTGTGACCGCTTTTCATACAACATTCTCAGTAGGTAGCCACCCGATCTGAAAAAAAAAAAAAAAAGAAACAGCCAGGCGGGATAAACCTAGCTGACAATTTCACCTTTAACCCACAGAGGCTTATAAATCGGCTTTGCTGTCCACTGAAAATCCCTGTCAAACCTATAAAACAGCCACGCTGCATTGGTTGGTCAGTCTCCGACAAGCATTAACGGCATTGGTTCTGTTTGCACCGGCGCAGTGTTTTTAATGAGGAGCCGGGTGTGACTATATTTACTGAAAATATAACTAGAGGTAGGAGCTTTATTAAAAATTCACAATGTCACAAAATGAGCCAAAGAACAATTTCTAGTTAGGCCAAAGGGAATGTATTTCATGGAATTCTTTGCTCTATTCACCGATACTCTCCTTCCAATATTTAAAACAAAAATAAAAATTTTTTTTAAAAACTTTTCATTCTTTATTTTTAATAAATTATTTGTGACCTGTGTACAACTGTTATTTTTTTGAAGCATTTATTTGGAAATTCCCATGTCCTTGGGTATTTCCTGCAAGATTGCAAAGGTAAAAGGCTTAATTTTTCTTCTTCACTTCATTTTGTAAGGGTTCGTTTTTCTTCATCAATTCATTTTGTATTACTCTAAGGTCGAGGGATGTACAGGCTCTGCTTCTTACTCTTCTGGCTCCCTCGATTGTACTGTGTAGTTTTTGTTATCTGTCCATTTTGTACTTGCTCATGTTGTTGTTATCTGTCCATTTTGTACTTGGTCATCTTGTTGTTATCTGTCCATTTTGTACTTGGTCATGTTGTTGTTATCTGTCCATTTTGTTCTTGGTCATGTTGTTGTTATCTGTCCATTTTGTACTTGGTCATGTTGTTATCTTTTCATTTTGTTCTTGGTCATGTTGTTATCTTTTCATTTTGTTCTTGGTCATATTCTTATCTTTCCACCACTCTCGATCTAACAACAGCCTTTTCAATGCTTGAAGCCTGAAACCCAAAACCAGGATAAGAAAGGTACTTATCAGAGAGCTGCTGTTTGCAGATGATGCCGCAATAACCACCCATTCAGAGGAGGAGCTGCAATATTTACTATCTGCATTTGCTGATGCATGCTGTGAATTTTGACTAACAGTCAGCAAAAAGAAGACAAAGGTTATGGTGCAAGTTGTCAATGACAGACCTACAGTCTACATTGATGGTGAAGAGCTGGAGACAGCTGACCATTTTACCTATCTGGGTTCCACAGTGAATAACAAACTATCGCTGGACCAAGACATTACCATCAGGATAGGTCTTGTCTTGTCTTGTCCACAATTGCCTCACAGCGTAGTGGGGAGTCGCAGTTTTCTATCCTGGGCCAGGTGTGTTGCACGTGTTGTTGTTAGTCTGTGTTGCCTCAGGATCTCTGATATATTGTCTATCCATCGTACTCTCGGTCTGCCTCTTGCTCTAGGGCAGTAGTGCTGTTCGTTGTATGCTCGTAGAGGCAGTTGGTTGGTTTGCATTCGCATCAAGTGGCCAAACCACTCTATTTGTTGCTTCTTTATGTGTTGCAGGCATGGTGTGGTTCCTACAATTGATCCAATGTTCTCGTTTCGAACTCTGTCTTTCCTTGTGACATTGGCAGCCTTACGTAAGCATCTCATTTCGCACGTCGTGATCTTTTTCTCATGTGCTCTTGTTAGGGGATGGATGATGTCATCAAGACCTGTAAGGAGAAGACAAAGAAGTACTCTGTAGGGTACTGGAAGATGAGACCAATCTGTATATCAGAGCTGGCTTTTGCAGACCATGTGGTCCTGATAGCTAAATCAGAGGCACACCTTCAGTCCAACATACTTGTCTGGAAGGAAGAGCTTGAAAAGAAAGGGATGACCATCAGTGTCTCCAAAACTAAAACCATGGTGATCTCAAGAGAGGAGAAGAAACACCAGATCATGATGGGACAGTATGCGTTGGAGCAGGTTAACCAGTTCAGATACCTTGGAGTTGTATTAGACCAAAATGGAGGCATTAAGACTGAGCTGGCTACACGAAAAGCAGCTGCTGGGAGACTCTTCCAGGCCATAAACCGAGGGTTTCTTAACAAAAGAGAAATTGGCAAGAGGACGAAAATGGCTGTTTACCGCTCTACCTATGTACCAGTCCTGACCTATGGGTGTGAGTCATGGGCAATGATAACAGCTCACAGAAGCCAGCTGCAGGCCTCGGAAATGAGATACCTGAGAAAGGTGGTCCAAGTGACAAGAAGGGACAAAGTCCGCAATCAGACAATACGTCAAGATCTTGATACCCAGCCCTTAGTAACCCGAGTAGATCAGTCACAGTTACGATGGTTTGGACATGTATGCAGAATGGGAGAAAATCGGCCACCATGGCAAGCATGGGAGGCTAAGAACCAGGGAACCAGACCTCCGGGACGACCCAGGGTACGCTGGGAAGACAACATCCGACAGTCCCTAACTGACAGAGGACTGGAATGGAACAAAGCCAGAAAGAAAACTACTGATAGAGACGTCTGGCGATCTCTCTGGCAAACCTCTACACCCCAAGGTAGAAGAGGAGCGACTAAGTAAGTAAGTAAGTAAGTAAGCTCTTGTTAGGGACCAGGTTTCGCTTTAGTAGCAGAGGGTTGGTATAAACATGCAATTTATCAGTTGTCGTTTTAGTGCCATAGTGATGCTTGGGTGTTTTAGCAGTGGGGAGAGTTGGTAAGTTACTGCGTTCGCCTTTTGACATCTTGCCTCAAGTTCCCTATCAATTCTTCCATCATTTGTGAAGATGCTCCCCAAGTATTTAAATTGCTGCACTTGTTTGAGTTGTTCGTTGTTAACTTGAATAGTTAGTATATTAGGTGTTCTACTTATTTTCAGAATTTCTGTTTTGGTGACGCTGATCTTCATGTTATATTCGTTGCAGACTGTGTGTAGCGCATTTACGTGGATTTGAAGTTCTTTTTCGTTTTCATGTATTATGCTTTGGTCGTCTGCGAAAAGTATTTCGTTCAGTTGGGGATATACTTCTTCAGGATCGGCGTGTATGTTTTCATTATAATGATCTCTTTCAACTAACTCTGTCGCACTGCTTGGTGTAGTTAACAGTTCGCTTATCATTACATGGTTTGCTGCTGTTGTTATTCTGTCCATGTATATATTGAATAGTAGTGGTGATAGTACACAACCCTGTCTTACTCCTGTTCTTAGTATGGGGATAGGTAAGGCAGCAAAAACAATGAGTAGATTGACAACAAGTTTGAGAGAACTGAAAGCTCATGATTAAAACAAAAACTCTTGTCTATCAGGCTTGTGTTCTCAGCACTCTGCTTTATGGCAGTGAAACTTGGTCAACCTATTTGCATCAAGAGAAATGGCTGTATAGCTTTCACATGCGATGCCATGTACTTGTGAGGCTAAGAGTTCATTATTGGCCGTAGTACCCACTTACCTTTTCTTATCTCGATCGGATGCAACTTCTTTTGTCAGTTTCACAGCTTTCTCTGCTATTGTAAGCTTATTTGCAGTTTGTTCCTGTTTAAACATCAAGTAAATAAAGCATTCAGTGACTTTTCCTTGGGTAGTTTGTGTGAAAACACCAATTATCACCAGACGAAAGAAACCACATGGAAACTTGAGCTGCCTCTACAATGGAGACTGGATGCATTCTTCTTCTTGGCATGTAAACTCTAGCAGAAAGGCTTTGATATTGTTCCTGTGTACACATCTTTTTTACAGATCTGGCTTATTTACATGCAGACTTGGTTGATTGCCCTACAGGCAGATGCACTTTGACTTCGAAGCAAAGACCTCTAGTCAAACACCTCTTGCAGCATGTTTGTTGGGTTGGGGGCAGCAGTGGGTCTATTCTTGTCTTCCCCACAACAGGGCCCTAGAACCCAGATGGGGAAGTTACGTGTTGAGAAGAGAGGATCTATACAGCAACATTACAATAGGAAAGATCATCAGAAGAGTTAAAATTAGTTGCCTATCCTTTACAAGATGTTGCAGAACCAACCTCAGCATTTTTGTTTGGCTGTTGTGGTTTTTGTAGGCAAATTTTACATTCAGTAGTTTGCCACTGCTTCTGTACCACTGTCGAAACCAACACAAGACAAATCGCCCGCAGCTGGGACCGAACTCAGCACCTCGACCATTACAAAAAGCGTTCGCAACGCCTAAGCCACAGACCAGCAGAAAAATAGATGTTGCTCAACAGCGTAAGCCTTCTTCCTTTTGTGTATTCACTCTTAAAAGAACGGTCAGCACACTGTGTTGTGGTTTACAGCTAGGAAGCAACATCAATGCATACTGTGTTGTGGTTTACAGCTAGGAAGCAACAGCTGCACACACTGTGTTGTGATTTACAGCTAGAAAGTAACATCTACACACACTGTGTTGTGGTTTACAGATAGGAAACAGCATCTGCGCACACTGTTGTGGTTTACAGCTAGGAAGCAACATCTACACATGTTGTGTTGTGGTTTACAGCCATAAAGCAACATCTATACACATGTGTTGTGATTTACAGCTAGGAAGCAACATCAACACACACAGTGTTGTGGTTTACAGCCATAAAGCAACATCTATACACACTGTGTTGTGATTTACAGCTAGGAAGCAACATCTACACACACCATGTTGTGATTTTATAGTTAGGAAGCAACACCTACACATATTGTGTTATGATTTACAGCTATATCTACACATATTGTGATTTATTGTAATGGTAATTCCCGGGGAAATCACAGAGAGTTCCCGATTGGTTGGTGGAAGGTCAGAGGACCCGTGAAACAAAAGGAAAGTGAGATAAGCAGGTCTCGAGTGTCCCGTGTTGGGTGAACAGAGGTATGGGGAAAGCGTGAGACTGGAACGGAAGTTGTGAACCAAGAGAGGATAGGAAGTCAGTTAAAGTTTGGACCTGGATGTGTGCGGTCGAATGCGAGAGAACAGCTGAGAAGAATGCAGACCGTCTGACCATGTGTATTTGTTCGAGAGTAGAAATAAATGTCTACTGACAGCAAGTTTCGATTGTGTACAGGTACAAGGTATAATAGGTGAGCCTGATCCAGATGTATGTTCCGAAAGGTATTGGCAGAGAGAATCACAGTGTGAGATAGTTGGCAATGTCATCAGGAATTAGCCATGCGTAGCAACCACGAGAACACAAGGGAGCGGATGGGCAGTGCGGTTGTTGGAACAGCCAATAAAGATCAATAACTGAGTGTTCGTCGTCTTGTGTTTCTTAGTAAATTAGTAACTGTGTGCACCTAAGAACGTCAGTATAGCAATGTGACGAGTTCAATCAAACCCCTAGCAGAGCCACATTGCATTTATAGCAAGGAAGCAACATTTACACACAATGTGTTGTGATTTATAGCTAGGAAGCAACATCTACACACATCGTGTTGTGATTTATAGCTAGGAAGCAACATCTACACACACTGTGTTGTGGTTACAGTTAGGAAGCAACCTTTACACACACTGTGTTGTGATTTATAGCTAGGACGCAACATCTACACACACTGTGTTGTGATTTATAGCTAGGAAGCAACATCTACACACAGTGTTGTGGGTACAGCTAGGAAGCAACATCTACACACATTGTGTTGTGATTTACAGCTAGGAAGCAACATCTACACACATTGTGTTGTGGTTTACAGCTAGGAAGCAACATCTACACACACTGTTGTGATTTATAGCTAGTAAGCAACATCTACACACATTGTGTTGTGATTTATAGCTAGGAAACAACATCTACACACATTGTTGTGATTTACAGTTAGGAAGCAACATCTACACACACTGTGTGGTGATTTATAGCTAGGAAGCAACATCTACACACACTGTGTTGTGATTTATAGCTAAGAAGCAACATCTACACACATTATATTGTGATTTATAGCTAGGAAGCAAAATCTACATACACTGTGTTGTGGTTTATAGATAGGAAGCAACATCTACACACATTGTGTTGTGATTTACAGCTAAGAAGCAACATCTACACACACTGTGTTGTGATTTATAGCTAGGAAGCAACATCTACACACACTGTATTGTAATTTATTGCTAGGAAGCAACATCTACACACACTGTGTTGTGGTTTACAGCTAGGAAGCAACATCAACACACATTGTGTTGTGGTTTACAGCTAGGAAGCAACATCTACACACATTGTGTTGTGATTTACAGCTAGGAAGCAACATCTACACACTGTGTTGTGATTTATAGCTAGGAAGCAACATACACACACACTGTGTTGTGATTTATAGCTAGGAAGCAACACCTACACATATAGTGTTGTGATTTACAGCTAGGAAAAAACATCTACACACACTGTGTTGTGATTTACAGCTAGGAAGCAACATCTACACACACTGTGTTGTGATTTATAGCTAGGAAGCAACATCAACACACATTGTATTGTAATTTATTGCTAGGAAGCAACATCTACACACACTGTGTTGTGGTTTACAGCTAGGAAGCAACATCAACACACATTGTGTTGTGGTTTACAGCTAGGAAGCAACATCTACACACATTGTGTTGTGATTTACAGCTAGGAAGCAACATCTACACACTGTGTTGTGATTTATAGCTAGGAAGCAACATCCACACACACTGTGTTGTGATTTATAGCTAGGAAGCAACACCTACACATATAGTGTTGTGATTTACAGCTAGGAAAAAACATCTACAGACACTGTGTTGTGATTTATAGCTAGGAAGCAACATCTACACACACTGTGTTGTAATTTACAGCGAGGAAAAAAAATCTTCATACACTGTGTTGTGGTTTACAGCTAGGAAGCAACATCTACATACACTGTGTTGTGAGGAAGCAGCATCTGTGCATACTGTGTTGTGAGGAAGCAGCATCTGTGCCTTTTCAGCCTAACATATCCAATTTCAGCGAAACCTTAATCAGTTGCCTTTTATGGTGCCCTTATAAATCAGGCAAACGGTCTGTCCTTTTAAAAAAAAACCAAAACTGGGCACCTGAAGCCTCACAGGGATAACACAAGTCAATGACAAGGCAGAACATCATCACCAAAACTGATTCAGAACACTTATGATTTAGATCATGAGTTTATGCCACATGATAATGATTAGGTGCGGTATGAATAGACAACTCACCAGCAGTAGCCTATTCTCCGACAGGGACTGTTCTTTCTTTGCCAGCTCGGTCTTCAGCTCCTCAACTTTATTTTTGTGCCGCTCCAAGTCTTTCCGGAAACGTTTAGGTGACTGCACGATTTTGCCAGATATCTTCTCAACCTCATGTGTCACTGTGGCCAGCTGTTGTTTTAAATTCTCCTGGTGAATAAACACAATTTAAAAAAAAAATAAATATAGGTTGAGCGTCATCAAGATTCCTTCATCACTCCGCCCTGCACCATTCTCTTCAGATCATGATGCTCTATTTGTACCTCCCCGCTGCTTATTCGCATCACTTTAACCTTTATTGAACAAGTCTATAGTAACTAAGTCCTGTCCATTTTTTGATGTTATTCTAGCTTCTTCTTTGCACCCTTCTCTTTGACTACCCCACGAATGCTACTTGAAATATAGTTTTGCAATTGAATCATGTCTTACCACATGTCCGAACCAATCTAGCTTGTGATATTTCATCAGAAAAGGCACCCGGTGTCCTGCAAATCTGCTTCTTCTATATTTGTTAGTTTAATGATGTGAACAACTAATTCGTAGAATTTGTCAAAAGTATTTACGTTTGGAAGCCGAAATCTTTCATTTCATCAGTGAGAGTCCAACACTCACATCCTTTTGAGAAGACAGACAATACCCATGATGATATAAGACAATTCTACACGATAAACACTGTCACATGCATCAATTTACCACTAAGTGGTGCAAAACCAGCCAATCTATGAGGCATGTTTTGACTGCAGCAATAAATACCCATGAAGAACGTAAATGTGCATATGCAATAGGTTTATGTGGTTCATCAATTGGTTGTGTGCTATTTTTTTCACTGTCGAAATCTTGTTTGACGCTGCGTGTGAGTGATTTATAATGAGTGTAAAAATAAATAAGTCAAACAGCTGTGATCCGTTTTTTTCTTAGCAAAAAACAAGTGTTGCAGAAAGACAGGCAACTCATTGAGGTTTATGGGCCAAATATTATGACTAATAGTATAGTTAGGAAATGGTATTGAATGTTTAAAGAAGGGCGAACAAATATCCATGATGAAGATCGTAGCAGTTGGCCAGGTGTGATGACAGATGATTTGGTCAAAGAAGTGAACCAAAAAATTCAAGAAAATCATTGTTCCACAATTTTCTGTCAAATTTTCGGAAGTTTCACATTCACTGAGTTACGACCTTGTGACAAGAAACTTTGGATAAAAAAAAAACTGTGTGCCATCCAAAACAAAAGACGTGGGTTGCTGTCTTCTGGAATTGTGCTTTTGCAGGATAATGGTCAACCTCACATTGTAGATGGAACTGTTCAATTGTTGCAAACATTTCACTGGGAAATTGGTTCCCCCCCTCACATCTGGCGCCAAGTGATTACCACCTTTCCATGCACCTAAAGAAGTGGCTGGTATCCCAGTGGTTTGAAATTGATAATGAGCTGCAGACACTCGTTCCAGTAGCATTGTAGTGTCGCTTGTGATCACACATTTTCTCAAACTTGTGCTAAATTGTGATATATGTACATGAATCCTCCAGGCCTACAAGATGACCTCCCTAAAGAATTTAAGTTCATCAAGATCCATTTCCAACACCACTCCGTTACTCCAGCAAGTTATTTCTAACTTTAAGAAGCTCTACACTAAAGCACTCTTCGAGCATTGTTTTCAGGTGACTGAAGGGACCAACCTCACTCTCAAAGTGTCTTGGAAAAATCACTTCCATATCGTTGCCTGCCTCAAGATGATCGACAAGGCGGGGAAAGGGGTTACCAAGAGAACCCTAACTTCTGCTTGGAAGAAGCTTTGACCGGAGAGCGTTGTTGAAAATGACTTTGAGGTGTTCGAGACAGTACCTGTGAAACCTGTAGTCAACGAGACTGTGTCTGTGCCCACTATAATGGGATTGTAGGTGGATAACAGTGACATCGAAGAGCTCGTGGAAGAGCACAGCCAAGAGCTGACCACCAAAGAGCTTATGGAGTTGCATTGTGTTTCACAGCAACAAGTTTTGGAAGAAGGTTTGTCAGAGGAGGAGGAGGAGGTATCAGAAAAGCAACAATCTTCTGGCGAAAAAAGAGAAATGCTGAAAGCATGGTAAACTGTTGCATCTTACATTGAGACGCATCACCCTAATAAGGAAGTGGTTATGCGCGTGGCAAATTTATTTAATGATAATGCTGTTTGGCATTATTTTTAAATTTTAAAGCGTCAGCAAAAACAATTAGTTATGTATCATAATTATTTCGATTTTTTTTTCTGCACATGGAATTTGCATTCCAGGTGGGTTCGTTCCGCGGTGGAAGAAAAGATAATGATGATTCACTCTCCTTGACAATATGTATATAATTTTCTTTGAATAAACGTTATACATAACATTTTGTGAGTATTTTTTCGACATGGAGCGCATTATCGTATTTTACATTAATTTATATGAGAAAAATTGTTTCCCATAACGAGTGTTTTGCTTAACGAGTATGATTCTGGAACGAATTATGCTCATTAAGTGAGGTTCCATTGTCCCAGCCCGCCCCCCCCCATCCCCCCCCACAAACAAGACCGGGTCTTGTATTAATTTTTGCTTTAAAAAATGCGCTACAGCTTACTTTCCGGGATGTCTTTTTTTATGTACAAAATACTAAATTTATTTAAATATTGTAACATCGTCACACAAAAGTGAGGAGACTCTGCTGGTACCAAAATTCTGTGTATTTTTTTTTTCAACAGGGGTGACACACCTTGAAATATGATGAACCACATCTGTTCATTATCAAGTGCACACAAGTGACTTCTATACTCCAACTGACCCTTCAGACACAAGTCTCTCATTCTAACTGACGATCTTAACTGGGTCGTATTTGTGGGGTAGGTCTTATTTCTAGAAATCACGGTTAAGTAGAACACTGAAGACAAGAGAGCCAAACAAAAACTTCTACTCACTTTCTCAGCTTCGACCTCAGCCAGTCGTAACTTGTACTCCTCTATAGTTCGCCTCTCTTCCTCTTGCACTTTATTCAGTTCAAAACATGTCTGCTGCTCTGATTCAAACTCTGCCTGCAGCTGTTATTCAGTGAAGACAAAACATCACAATAATCAAGGGAGAACATACTGTGGGCACATATTTTAATCAAACAATTAACTTCGTTCTACACCTGCCTTTTATCCCACAAAGGAGCACAGGCCCTCAATCAGTTGACACCTATCATGGGTTTTCTGTCTAGAACATTCATGCGTGCAAGGTAACGAGCCGGTAGATAGATTAGCTGCCGTCACTCCTTTGGGTGGTGAGCTATTATATGATAAAGCAGATGTGGTGAAGGCTCTATGGGATGAAATGGACAGTGCAAAAGAGCAGATAAGGAATCCATACACTGACAGAATAATTCAACAGTGGGTGTGCAGAGGTTCTGGTAGATATTCAACTTTATAGGGGAAACAGGTGGCCTTTTAATCAGGTTGCAACTGCCACCATTACTGAAGAGGGGAACAAAGCACATGTGGGATATCCCTTGTTTATATAGACACACAGACAAACAGGCAGACCTAAAAACACTTAGAGTCAACAACTGGAGGGAGAAGGCCAATTTCAAAATAAATGAAGGTTGGTGATGTCAGCAGCAAAGAACCCCAAGGCCTCAAATGCTCAACAGGATTTTTCTTCTTCTTAAAGTCCATGCCGTGTGGGGGTGGTAGTCATGTCTATCCACAATCTTCTGTCTCATGTACTTTCAATCAGCTGTGACATAGATGATCTTTTATGCCATAAAGTCAAACCGTCCAGCATCTGTTCTCTCGGTCTCCCCTCCAACTTTTCTACTGTCACGATGTACTCCAGTTTTCTCTTCCTCATCACACGGCCAAAGAATGTAAATTAGTCCTTTAATATCCATACTTTGTTCTAAAATTCACCTTTCTATCGTCTGTGCCATGTGGTGTTTCACTTTTTCATCCTCCAACTTTCTCGCTGTCAGGACATACTAAAGTTTTCCATTCTTCTCTGCTTCTTCTTTGTTCACTAGCTGTAAGCTTTGACAGAAAGTCTTATTCGTCTGTCCATTTGGGCTTTGGTGTTGTGCCAGGATCTGAGTTTTGCGTGTACATCCATTTTATTGGCTTATTTGTGTTCAGCTGCTTGTTCCTTGCGGCTCGGGCAGACATCCTCCGAAAGAAGTCTCCAATTAGTCGACTCCTATGACATGCTTCTTGGCAGGCAGTGGGTCTTTTCTTTTTTTCCCCACGCGGGGCCCTGGAACCCAACGGAGGACCCCTTCCATCTTATGACATAACCAAAGAAGTTTGCCACTCTCATGACATGCTCTAAGAATGCAGATATTATCTGCTTTTATTTCATTGTATAGACTAGTGATCCCCAACCTATTTCAGATGATTGCCCCCCCCCCCCCCCCCCCCCCCCCTCGAGTAAATACAAGACCCCCCAAACATGACAAAATGCCAATAATAAAAATCCTAAGCACTGTTAAAGAAAAACACTGACATAAATCAAAGCGTCGAATAACAGCAGAAACAATCACCAGCTACTGGTAATTTAGCGTCCAAATCAAAATATCAACGTGATGGCTGACACTGGTTTGTCTTGATGTCTGCTATTTTTGGTCTGATGTTAAACAAGGCACAACAGAGACCACTCTCCCACTCAAGCTGGCAACACTGTTTTGTTTTCATGACTGTTAAAGATCCGGATTATTACAAACAGAACTAAAATTAATTTCAAAACTGCTCGTCCCCCCCCCCCCCCCCCCCCCCCCCCATTCCTCACAGCTCACAAGGTTGGAGACGACTGTTTATTTAAATTCCCTCCATATGCCTTTGAAAATCATTCAAGGTCCTGTGCTTGCCACAGACTTCTGACACCTGATAAAGTGTTTCACATGTGAACACACTCAACTATTTAAAAAAAATTAAAACAAAACTGGCTAGCTGTTACAAACCTTATGTAGCTCAGCTTCTCTCTGTTGTCGAGTTTCGTTAGCACCTGCCAGGTAAGTTTTAAGTTTCTTGTTCTGGTTAAACACAGCCTCACAAGTGTTTCTTCTGGTTTGCTTTAGATCAAATGAAACAAAGTGGCCACTGTGATTTCAGTCACAGGCATGAGGGAAAGTAAAGGCTAATGGGACGTGTATAAGGAGATAATGGGTTCACATACATATTTTTTTTTTCTTTCTAGGGCCACACACACTCACAGACCCCTCAGACAGCACTAACTGTTCACATAACCACACAAGCAGATTTCCAGAGACAGCCATTACTGTTGACATAAACACATAAGCAAATCTCCTACACAGCACTTAATGTTCACACACAAACACACAAGCAGATCCCACAGACAGCCCTTACTGTTGACATAAATAGAAAAGTAGATCCCCCAAAGAGCACTCACTGTTGACATCAACACAAAAGCAGATCCCCGAGACAGTACTAACTGTTCACATAAACACACAAGCAGATCCCCCAGACAGCACTATCTGTTCAATAAAAGCACATAAGCAAATCCCCCAGACAGCACTTACTGTTCAACAAAAGCACACAAGCAAATTCCCCCAGACAGCAGTTCTGTTCAACAAAAGCACACAAGCAAATTCCCCCAGACAGCACTTACTGTTCACATAAGCACACAAGCAGATCCCTCCCCCAACTCCCCTTCCACAGCACTAAATGTTCATTTAAACACATAATCAGACCTTGCCTAATATAAAATGCTAACATAAAAACACGAGCAGACCCCCCCCCCCCCCACCCCCATTTTCCCCTTCCCTAGACAGCACTAAATGTTCACATAAATACATGAGCAGATTCCCTGTCTGGTTGTCACTGGCTTTTTCACTCCCATCTTCTCTTGCTGATACATTATGTAATGAATTACATAATAAGTTGCCAAGAATGAACATCACAATAAACATAACATTGGCTCCCATGTCGACCAGCCGAAAATGGGTACCATTTAAAGCCCTGGGAAGTAAAGGCGGCTAGCGATGTTGACGACATCACTCATGAGTGCCCATTGATCTATAACATGCAGGTCGCAATATATGCCCAATATGCTTAAGAAGAGAGTTCTCTATTTATAGAGATCAACAGATTAAAAATTAGAATTGTTAAACATTATCTACAGTCAGAAAGTTCCTGAAATAAATAAAAGATAAGATGGCCATTTCAGCCATATTAAAAGACATAACACTCTTCTAATAACCACATCGGGAAAAAAAAAAAAACAGGTAAACAATACGAGTGGGAGGATAACATCAAGATGAGGACAAACAGCAGTTTGAGAGAGTGTATATCCAAGGTGAAAGACTGAGCACGTTGGATATTCACTGAAGTCAACCTTCACTGTGAAGACGGCACCTGATTGGCTGATGAAAGGATATGTTCAAATTAATTGAAATGTTCAAACAGCCTTATCAATGGCATGATTTGTGGCTGCCTCAGCAGCACTTCTGGTTTCTCAGTATCTGCTCAACGTGTTCACGTCAGACTTGAGATTACTGCTCAGAAGCTACACTTACAAGAAGGACAGCAGTAACTATTTACTTTCTCTCACCTCATCAATCAATGTCTCTCTCTCACTCCCCCCCCCCCCCTTGCGCGTATATGAGGCATCACATATCTCTTTTATGGTGCGACTCTCGTACCATTGTCTGAGATCAAGGAAATGGTTTTTTCTAAAGCACCCACCACGAAAATTGAGCCCTGGTAAATACTGAGGACTGCATTGTGAAACAATTTGAATAACCTCTAAGCCACACAAATATCTAACCTATAAATGTCCTCTAATTTACATTTAAAACACAAATTTTAGAAAAAAAATTATAAAACTCAAAATTTTTCTGAGCTACTTGATTTCTGTGCTCCACATGCCAAGCTTAGTTTACTTTTCCTAAACAAGGTGGTGGAAATAAATTAACGAAACCTTACAATTCTGTCAAAGATTTCTTGAGCCACTTGTCTTCTATGCTCCACATGTCGAGCTGAGTTGATAAAAACACTGACGATCTTCTGTAGCCGCTTGGGAGCTGTTGAAGATAAAATAATGTACCTTATTTTTACCTCCAAACAAAAGGGACCTAAGAAACACAATGTAATGTGTGACTCATGAACTTTTTTATTAACTAAGGCTTATGGGAAAATTTGAAGTCATCTTGGCTTTAAAAAAAGACATTTAGTTCGCAAGGAACCCCTTCTAAATGCTATTTTTAGTAAACATACTGCGATCCTGACCTCTTAAAGCTGCGCAGGCACAAAAACAACTAATGGCATCAACTGGATGTCTCATAAAGACATCACTGTATCAAAGCTTAAGTGGCACTCTCTGGAAATTGAAACCACCGGAAGTGCCGGACTTGCAACCTCCCAGGGCAAAAAATTCCCGAATGGTCATGATGCACATTTTTAAGTTCTGCCAGGGTGGCGGGGTTAGTCTGCTTTTATTTGAACTCCAAAATACACAAATATTTTGGTTCTTCTCCGGGGCTGTTCACTGTAACCGTGACGTTTAAATTAGGTTACGTACTGCGCGTCGTTTCATTTATAAATTATTGGACTGCTCTGGGGCATAGGTGTGTGAGCTAATTCTAGATTATTTCCGGGACACCACCAGTGATGTGTGATGTTGCAAGGGAAGAGGACAGGGGTAAATTATCCCAGCCAGCCAGGCAACCTTTCAATATGTTGAGTCGCAGTTCGCTCGACACAGACAGATGTCTCGTGGAATAGACTCGCACACCCCTGTGACCCAGAAGAGTCCAAGAAGCTATGAATGAAAGGTCAGCGTCACGGTTACTGTGAACAGCACCCTTCTCCAAGTTCCCTGGCCAAGCGCTGAGGGGATGTAAGCACAGTCTGTCTATGTGCTCTTTAGAATGTTTTAAGTTGGTCTTCATTTCTCTAAAGTTGTTACTGATGGCGTATCTCCATCTTTTGTGTGGTCTTCTTCTAAAGCCTTTACTGAACAACTTGTTCTGTGTTCATTATAGTTCTTCAACGTGGTTCTCTGTGGCAGCTGGTACCGGGGCAACCTCGCCAGATGGCCAAACCATCTCAAATGTTGCGCTTTAATTAGTTCTAGGACTAGTTTAAGGCTTAGTCTTCATCTAATTCCATATTTTTTTTAGCTACTCCGGCAGCTCTCCATAGGCTAACTGTATCCTCTGCAAGAAGAAGGACTAAATATGTTCCTCATGTTCAGTATGAGACGCACTGCTGGTACATTCTGTGAGACTTTGTCCCAAATGAATATGTACTCAAAAGAGCAGAAATGCCAAAGGATCTTCTGTATGGTAAACTAATAACAGGGATAAGATCTGCAGGAAGGCCAAAGCTACACTATAATGGTATATGGAAATCGACCTGAAAGATACCAACATTGGCACAGACACTTGAGAGAGATCAGTTGCAGATCTACTCCTCTGGAGACAGTGAAAAACGGACTGTCACAGTTTTAAAGAGGCCAAACGCAGCAAGCTATAGAGAGGAGACGTCTGTGAGAAAACCAGCCTCGGAACAACAGTGTATCATTGTTTCTATGCGGACTATGTGGCAGAGACTTCCATTCCCGCATTGGACTTGACATTAACAGCAGACACTGTTCCCAAAACCAGCGAGACAACTCCATGGTCCCCAGGGACTGACGGTTGACTATAGCATAATATATATATATATATATATATATATATATAATAATTCATAATATATATTTAATAATGTATAATATATATAAATATATAATATACATACTAATACACATAATAATATATAAACAAAAATTATGAACAACACCAACAAGAAAGAAATACTTAAGTGTGAAATACAAGCAAACCGCAAAAATCATAAGCAAGTTCATAGATATAACTATCTCGGCACAGTCATAAAGTCTGTTGGAAGATGCCTTGCGGAAATCAAAACAAGAACTGCAATGGCAAAATTAGCCTTTAGCAAGATATGAAAGATTCTAACCAATGAGCAGATAAGCTGAAAAATATTTACTCGCAGCAGGAAAAAAAAAAACATGCAATGAATAAAATGGAGGGATGGAAAAACAAACAGATCAATCCTTATCAAGACATATGAAAGCCGTAAGCTTGTTAACACAGTTAGACATAGACAGTCAGTGCTTTTCGGACATGCTATGAGAAGAAACTGACTTGAGAACTTGGTAACAACTAGCAGGATTGGTGGAAAGAGAGCAAGAAGAAAGCAAAGAGATAAATATTCAAACCACCTGGCCTCACGGATGGAGAAGACAAAAATACTGAGCGATCCATGATTCTGGTGATTGGATGAGATGGCGAAGAATAACAGCCTATCCTTACCGGCTCTGCACATGATAACAATGATTATATATATATATATATATATATATATATATATATATATATATATATATAAATAAAATACAAATGGTTATTTAAAATAAAGCAAGTACAAGAAAAGGTGCACAATCAATTTTAATGACAGGTAAGTACCTGGCTGAATGACATCTCTGATGCAGAAACCCTGAAATCCAAATCGGCCCAGAACTGTACGTCTGCAGGGCAAAAAGAGAAAATGTTTTACCATGCTATGAATAATGCAGAGAACCACACAACTTCAACCATGACTGGTGTCAAGGTAAAGGAACCCATTTCTACACTTACAGGCATCATGGGCATATAGTTCTACACCAAGATTTTAAAGACCACTTGGCACTTAGTGGGTTTTATGATCAACATCATGCTGGCTGCCTTTACTTCCCAAGACTTTACCTGGTACTCAATTAAAGCTGGGCAGACCCTCTTACAGCATAAGACAATCCCAATCAGCACAAAGAGACATCTTATTCAAAGCATATTTATTCCAACTCTGTGCTACCAGTGCCAGACATGGTCACTCACAACAAACCATAAAAGAAAATTAGTAACCACGAAAATGAGATGTCTGAGAAGGGCTGTAGTGACCATAAGAGATAAGATCAGGAATGAGATCATAAGAGAACAAGTCGGCACAGAACCACTTCTGGATTACATACAAAGACAGCAAGTGAAATGGTTTGCCCACTTAGAGAGAATGCCTTGTGACATCATACCATACAAAGCATACATGGAAAGAGAAGAAGGACGTAGAGCACGGGGTAGACCAAGAACAAGATGGAAGGATAACATCAGAGAAACTCTACAACAGCACAATGTGCCTATGGTCGAGGCAGCCAGAAGAGCTAGAAACAGAACCTTATATCTCCCTCAACACCCACAGCGGTAAAAGAGGAAGTGAAGAAGAAGAAGAAGACATGGGAGCCATAGTCATTTTTGAACAAAGTCCAGCTCCATTCAGATTTGAACTCACAACCTTTGGATCTGCCACCAAGCGTCTAGAAACTACACCACGGCAGCTCCCTATTACTGATGTGCTCCAAGATAATCTGTGGACTGATGGAACTTGCAGATACAGACTAGTTTCTTATTCTTGTACCGCCAACAGATCCAAATTATTTACAAGTGAAAGGATCCATTTTGATTTGTCTTCCACAAGACTTCATCTCTTTCTGCACCATGCTTTCATCCTTTCTTCCACATGGTATCATCTCTTTCTTCTACATGGTTTCATCTTTCTTCCACATGGTTACATCTCTTTCTTCCACATGGTTATATCTCTTTCGTCCACATGGGTTCATCTCTTTCTTCCACAAGGTTTCATCTTTCTTCCATATGGTTTCATCTTTCTTCCACATGGTTTCATCTCTTTTTTTCATATGGTTTTATCTCTTTCTTTAGGGATGCAGAGGTGCTGAGCCACACAGGCTGGTCCACTAGGACTCGGGCTCATACAAGATATCTATACCGCTTGTTGTGAGCAATTTTAGATATATGAAAGGGTTATGGCCCTTGGTGATACATTCCATTATTAAAACACTGATGTCCCTTGAAGTTTAAAATTATAATTAAGAGAGTAATATGTAAATTGGACCGCAGACCCATTTGCTGGGATCACAGAACCTATATAACCGTACAATGGGAGGAAATTATGGTGAAATTCATGAATAAATGTGAACCATGGTGGCACAAGAAAACTTATGTTGAGATGGTGAACTGTGTGTTATCAGAGACAGTTGTTAACCACACGATATGAGAGGAAGAGTTGACGCCCCGAAGAAGCAAGAGCAGTTGACTTGATGACATTGAAGTGGAAAGACACATCGCTAAAGCCTCTGATAACTGATGTTACTATTACGTGCGCAGCTGTAGCGCGGAATCAGGGAGCTCAGGTGACATGCATGAACGTATGTTCTAGTCTGGGTGTTGCCAGACTAGACCTACACATCTATGTGTTACGCTGGAGTTAAGCGTCTAGGTTATCTGGGGGGGGGGGGGGGGGGGGGTTCTGTAATAGCCCGGTCCAGAGGTCTGTAAGACGAGATCATGAGATCTCAAGGTGTGTGGCAGGCTGCAGTTGTATGATCTCTCTAGTGACTGTATATCCAAGTGATAGACGTCAAAGAAATAGTCATGTGAACACGAGCTGTGGATTTGCACAAGCAGGTAATCATTGCCTATAGCAGCTACAGAAAAGAGGATGGCAGTAGAAGTCTTCCAGAGCATCCTGAACGAGTATGCATTGGCAGTAAGGTTGACTATAGCAGTATAAAATTCGGATCTTGTGATGCCACTCATTATCATGATGTCAAAATACAGTGAATAGACTTTGACGGTCAACATGTGTCAGGTGTTCTCTATAACTGTTTAGCAGGATTTGTGACTTGTAAGTGTGACACCATTGCATCCTAACCATTGGCAGAATTCTTTTCCCTATCTCTTAAAGGATTGGAATTGTTCATTATCTTCATGAGCCACAAACAATATCCATTAGGCCTTACAATTATAGTTCATTTGTTCTGCATAAACACAAGTAAATGAATGTTTAGAAAATGTTATATTCATTCTCCATATTTTCTGCTCCGTGCAGAAGTACTGATTTGATATTAGAATTAAATGTTCCATATTTGGTGCTAGTTCATAAGATTCCACCTCCTGAAGTAAGGTTTCACTAACCACATCTTTATTTAAGAAAACATGCCAGCATCATCTTTCACAAAACAATTCATCAACATTCACAAATGAACATGAAGTTACTTACAGACATATTGTGAAAGCCATCTGAGCAAAGCCTTCCTCAAATAATTCTGGATACTCTGCTTCGGTCTTCTCCAATTTGAACAAGGACTGAAATTAGTTAACTGGCAATAGTTAACAACTGGCAACAGTTAACTAATATTTTAAAAAAGAGCATGATAAACAATGCTAGGCTCACATACAGGATACCCACTCGTGAATACTTTGTGAGATTATGTTTTTTTTTGGTGGTCTTGGGTAAAGAAAACAAATCCTAACCTGCAGTCTGTGGTGACCGCACCAGCCACTGGCCCTAAATCCTCAAGAACCCCCTCCCCCTCAAAACTGCAAAAGTGGTAAATAATGGTAGCTTTCTTTCTGGCAGTCAAAAAAAGCACCTGACGACCACAACATAAGAGTTTCTAAGCTATTCTGTTTTGTTATTTGAAGATTTCATACAATAGCCATTTCTTCTGAGGAAAGTTTCTTCTGAAGTTTAATGGAGTAGGATGTGGAGAAAGAAGAAGGTTGATAGTTCATCTCCTTCAGCATATCATTTACCCAGATTTTGTGCCAATAATTTGCCGTAGATCTAGTTGTACTTTCCTAGAGATCAGGTATTTTTTTTTGGCCTTTCTCTGTAAACGCCCTCTTTGTCATCCTAATTCCAACATCTGTTTCCCATCTCATTTCTTAATTTACCAATTTGATCCACATTATCACAATATAAGCAAATAAAAAGTTACACAAACAGCAGTCAAATAAAATGTACATTATTGCTGCACCAGACAGTGCGCACATTTATCCAAGAACTATTAAAGAGAGTTGAATAAACACAAACATGAATTCTTTAAAGAGAAATACTCAAATCACATTTTCAAGTTAAACTTGTTATCTCCCTAGTGGAAATTTAAAATTAGCCATGTGGTTACCATGGTAATTGCATATTCAGGTTTTGCTTGAGCTCTGTTCCGACCAGCAGGTCATAAGTCGAATTTATATTTTTCAACACTATTTTCCAATCGGTGTTATTCATTCCAAATGCTCCGAGTTAAGACTTCAAGGTGTCTTTAAAGCAATTTCTTTTGCTCGTCTTGGAAACGTGTCCCATTTTGCAGCTCACCATAGAAGAGTACAAAATACATAATAGGCACTCTACTGCATCATTTCCTGGCACCGTTTGACCCCAACAATGTAGTTAACATTCTCTGTTTACTATTATATTAGGGGTCCTAATGAAGCAATGATGCGCAATACAAGACTCTTAATGTCTATTAGCCTCTCTTGATCAAGCCTACCTCACCTTCACGTGGTGGACCCTGTTTTTCTTAGCAATCCAGTTGAAGGTGGATCTCAACCCCCAGCGGGAAACTGGATGGGGACAACAAACGAGGTAAAGGCGAAAGACGAATGGATCAGCCTACTCTCCTCGAGTATGATCACAATCTACCCTAGCAAAACAAGGTGCTGAAGTCGGAGGCAACCAGCCAGGAGGCACACCACAGCAATCAGGACGCCACGCACACATGCAATGGAAATATATACTATTATTTTATCTACGTTGCTGTGGTTTCAAGTGCCGATGGTCATTAGTTCAGGAAAAAGTCTATATTCCATTTTTATTTAAATGTCAGCTATATTAATGAAAAGGATTCATGTTTATGACTCATAACTCATAAAGATGAATTATTTTCATTATTATAGCTGACATTATAACGCTTCACTGTATGTCAATTTAACTGTAATAATGCATCTCACAGGGTTTAGCAACATACACCAGGCCATTAACTGCGTCCAAATTATTTAAATTTGCAGCAGAAAAATTTTATTTCGATGTACTTCTTCTTTGCGTTCACAGACTATAAACTCTGGCGGAAAGTTTTGGTTGTTCATCCACTTGTTTTAGAAGTTGTGTTTTGTATGCACACCTGTTTAACAGATCTGGCTTGTATGTAAGCAGTGTTGGCTCCCCGCCTCTCAGGCAGACGCACTCCAACCTCGAAGAAATATTTTGATTTGTAAAAAGTTTTTCTTACGTAGATCAACAAAGACATACCTGAATCGCCTGCTCAATGGGACGTAATGCCATTATTTCAAATATCCTTGAATAAACCTCATGCCATTTTCGGGCCTGCCAAAAGATAAGATGTGAAAAAAAACTAGAACATTGTCTTTTTCACTCCAATTTCAAACAGGTCAACCTGAGAGCCCAAGTCAAGTTTGAAAAAAAAAAAAAAACATCTGGATGAGAATTTGAATCCAAGACCCTCAGGCCAGCAGGTGAGTTGTGCTTGTAATAAGGAGAAATAAACTTAGTGACAGCTAGCAAACTTCATGGGAAAATATACTGTTTTTTGACAAAAATCCACAAAGGTTTCTAATGGTGCTTTCCTGTTCAACAACACTAACAAAAAACTCAGTCAAGTTGTACAATATCAACTATCAACAACACAGATGCAAAAGAACTGTCAACCTACTGGTTGACCCCTAAGGTATTCTTGTATGCAATCTGAATAATATCACTCTTTAAATTACAAAGACTAGGAAATGTCAAAAATATGCTCCTTTCAGCAGGTAAGATGTTGCTGTTGTTTTTTTTAATGAGGAAAGCACCATTGGAAATCTATGCGTTTCCTTTTTGTTTTTTAATAGTAAAGAAAGGGGAAGACGATGTGCATTTCTGAAGATGATGTGGGATGGTGACCTATGTCTCCCCAGATTTATCTTCATGACATAACTTGATGAAATTAGCTAGACTAAAATGTAAACTTAAGTTGGGGGGCCATTATTTTATTTTATCATAATTACAGATTTTTTGCGTGAAATCAGATATAAGATGAATTAAAAATAACTGTCCCCCATTCATTATCAAAAAACGAATGGAGGAAAGATAAACATATTAAAGGTAAATAAGATGAACAACAATCAAATTTTCCTTGGTAAAACTTATTTAAGATGTGGAGTCCGGAACTTATTTAGGCATGAATGTAGGCAAATATCTGGGAACTGATAGAGGTATTTCTACTACGATATAAAGATGTGTGCAGGCGGGACATGAATGATACAGGTAAAAAAAAAAGGTAAAGTTGGGAGATGTGAACCAGCGTCATTGCACACGGTTATAAACCATAAGTGCTCTGCAACCAGAATGGACAGCTGATAAGAATTGTCCGCCTGTGTCGCCGTTCGCACATAACTGTAGCTACAGCGACGTTCCTCCATTTACCCCAGAATGTCAACACTGGTACCCATTTCCTAGAGGCTGGTTGAACCCCGGGAACCGCCCGGTTTCGAACACCAACCATGGGCTGCAGCTGGATCTGAAAGAGAGGTATTGAGGAGGACTTGTGGGAACAAAATACAATGGACCATGTTGTGTGGAGGGGACACATCAAGAAGGGAATGAGAATAAAGAAAAAAAATTATTGCAGAAAGGATTAGAGCCGAGCGTCTGAGAAGAAACAGACTAAACACAAATGTTAACAACAAATTTAATTAGCCCTAACATCAAAGAAGAACTGTTGTATAAAGCTAAAACAAGAGAACAACTCAATCTGTTGAAGTCGACTTACATTAGGGTCTTTGAAGTCATGCTCACTGATAATAATGTCTGATTCTCTTAAACAATCCAGAATCTCTGGAATCGGCAATACCGGAGACTCAAAACTCATGCTAGTCACCTGTACCTGGAAAATGCAGTCAGAACTCCTGTTAAATCAAACACAGTTTAGATAATGAGGATGCACACAACAGTTTGCACAGTTAACTGCCAGGCATATTTCACTCTCAACTATTAAAATCATCATCATTATCATAAACCACTTCTGCCGTTAAGCGTCATGGGGAGGAATAATTTGTGATCCAGTGCACGTTGGCTGCCACTGGCTATTGTCATGCGGTGAGGCGTAGAGTGTCTTTAATGTTGTCGATCCATATTGCCCGCGGCCGTCCTCTTGCTCTTGTAGCTGATCTTCTGAGATGTAGTGCTTGTGATGGTATTTGATCTTGCTGCATTCTAACAAGATGGCCAAACCACTTGATCTGCTGTTTCTCTATGAATCTAGTACAAGGTGTCGTTCCCACAATTTGCCTGATAGTTTCATTATTCACTCGATCTCTGATGGTTAGGTTAACTTCCATTACTAAGAAGAAACCACAGCTATTTTACTACTAGGTTGAATGTTCCAGAAGAAATAACAAGAGCTATTAATATTACATTCAATGTTCCAGACCAAATACTAATACTATTACATTCAATATGTGAGAAGAAACAACAAGAGCTATTACAATTACATTCAATGTGTGAGAAGAAACAACAAGAGCTATCATCACTATTAATTCAATGTTCAAGAAGAAACAAGACCTATTTCTACATTACATTCAATATGTGAGAAAAAACAACAAGAGCTATCATCACTATTAATTCAATGTTCAAGAAGAAACAAGACCTATTTCTACATTACATTCAATATGTGAGAAAAAACAACAAGAGCTATTACTACATTGAGAAGAAACAAGGGTATTACTTTCAATGATTGAGAAGAAATAAGAGACACCGCTGAGGTATTACATGACTTTAAGAATTGAGAAGAAACAAGAGACACAGAGGTATTACCTTTAATAATCGAAGTCTCAGAAAAGAAACAACATAGAGATAAAACCGTCAATAATGGTCAGGAGACAATACAAGAATCAAACTTTATGACAGAGGTATTACTACCAACTACCCTAAATGATCGAGATACACACACACACACACAAAAAAACAGGCAATATGATAATATATATAATAAATAATATTAATAATCTAAAAATAATCAACTAAAAAGTAAAAGTAAAAGAAACAACAGGCACAGATTAGTTGAATTACTTCAATTTCAATGATTATGAGGGACGAGATGATAAGGGATTAAACAACAACAGACATATGTATATTACTATCAATGATCGAATAGAAACAATAACAGACACAATTTGTATTACTTTCAATGATTGAGATGAAACACTGTTACTGTTTCATAAAGATGATGAATGAAACGTTGATAACTTGATTCTCAGCTCTCTGTTGTTAATTAATTGTTGTTTCTATCAACCTTTTATTGATCGAGATGAAACATAAACATTACATAACAACAGATACAGAGGTATTACGGTCCTCAGCGATCGAGAAGAAACAACAAGAGCAATTTTTAATGATCGAGAAGAAACAACAACAAAGTATTACCTTCAACGATCGAGAAGAAATTAATAAACAACAAGAAACAGAAGATGATCGATGTTTGAAAAAGGCGCTTCCGTTCGACCCACCATCGCGTCGGGAACGTCAAAACTAGGACACACGTACCAGAAACGATAGAATACTCATGTTTATGCCCATAATATCGCCTAATTTATAGTTTTAATAACTTTTAACTAACATTTCTTAAATTAAAATTTGTTTGTAAGCAGTTTTTTGTACCACAACTATTTAAAGAATAAATTATTTTCACATTTGTCATGTCAAAATTAGCCAGTGCGACAATTACGTTTTTATAAAATGGAGAAACATGCTGGGCGAGATTTGTCAGTTTTTTGCTATTGACTCTAGCAATTTTCCATCAAATGACCATATTATCATTGGCAATCGGTCTTGCCAAAGTGATTTTTTGGTACACTTTTTCCTAAATTTGTGCGAGAAACAAAACAGGCCCGTGGTTTTCCTGGGCCTCTCGCAATCTTTCGGCCATTACAATTCTGTGGGGCAGAAGCTTGGAAACAATTTGGGATCAGCGAGAGATGAACGCAAAAGCTTGGTATTTCTGGAAAGTTTGTTTGATTTCAGCGAAAGTATAGCCTCTAGTTCAACCTTTCGTTCTACGACAGCTCCTAATCCGTTTGTAGAATTACTGAAAGGTGATTCTACAACCCTTTTGAAGTCAATTAATGCGTCGTTAGAAACTTTGGCTCAGATACAGACGGGAATATTGAGTGCTCCAGTCGTCATTATAGACGATCTATCTGTTCTTTTGAGTGCAGGAGTGGCGCCAGAATGCCTTCTGTTGTTTGTAAATAGTTTACATGAGCTGGTAACATCACCTCGAATAAAGGGTTCGCTGATAATCTCTCTTCATTTGGACAAAGAAGACGAGAAAGCTGAAGAACTCTGGGCATATCTGACCCATTTATCCACAGTGAAAGTACAGGTGACAGATCTAGCATCAGGTTATTGCAGGGATGTACATGGAGAGGTAACCTTTTTTTCTTCTACAATTGTTAATATAATTATCTTGGCATTATTAAGTACAGTACAGTTTGTCGGCGTCTGTAGTATAGCCTATCTATACTATAGGCGTTGTGAATACGCTTTGTAAAGTAAAGCCAGGGTTTTGGGTTCAATCCCTGCTGCTAATGTTTTGTCTTGAACTGGTTTCGACAGTGGTACTGAGAGCTGACCGTTCAGAAATCAGTGGCAAACCACTAAACGTAAAATTTGCCTTAAAAAACAACAGCCAATAAATGTGGGGTTGGTTCTGCAACGTCCTGTAAAGGATACGCAACAAACATAGTTTGCCAATTACAAAGAAGTTTACTGTAAAATATTGTATAGAAGCGAAAAAGAATTAAGAGCCTTATAAATCACACTAAATCAGAACGTCAGAAAAACAAACTAATGTTAGAATATAGCGAACTAAATAAAATGGCAAAGGAAAGGGCCAGAGCTGACAAAAGAAGATTTATGGAAAATCTACAAAAACAGCAGAAAATGCTGCTAAAGCACATGATAGTACAAACCCTACACAAAATTACCTCGCAAGTTTGCGGAAGCAGAAACAATTATCCCAGCATACCCATCAGAGATAACCGATAACCAAGGCAGACTGCTCACCACAGAACAAAAACAAGACATGCAGTGGACTAAACACTTCTCCGACCTCTTGAACAGACCTGACCCGTGAAAATCCTCCAGATATTCAACCAGCCTCTCAGGACATTGACATTATTACTGAACCACCAAGCAAACAAGAAATCCTTTAAGCTATCCACACTTTAAAGAACAACAAAGTACCAGGCAAAGATGAACTTCTCAAAGTAGATCCTAACACAACTGCTAGCATTCTAGAACCATTGTTCAAGGATATTTGGGGGGAAAAAGTGTTGCCTGATGACTGGTCTGAAGGAACAATAGTCCAAATCCCCAAAAAAGGAGACTTAACAGACTGCAATAATTGGAGGGGAATTACTCTACTCTCAGTACCAAGCAAAATATTTTGTAAAATCATCATAATGTGGCTTGAAAAAGGAGTAGATAAATGCCTACGAGTAGAACAAGCTGGATTCAGAAAGGGCAGAGGAACAACTGAGCACATCTTCGCCATACGTAATATTTTAGAACAGTGCAATGAATGGCAGAGAAGTATATATATTAATTTTGTGGACTTTGAGAAAGCTTTTGACAGTCCATAGAGACAGTCTATGGAAAATTGTATGACACTATGGAATTCCAGAAAAAATAGTCAGCAAAATTGCTCTCTTCTATAAAGACTTTTCCTGCAGTATAAAAAATTACATCTTTCCGATTAAAGACAGGGATGTGTTATGTCATCTCTCCTCTTCAACCTTGTGATTGATTAGATACTAAAGAACACAGTAGACAGGATATTAAGAGGCATACGATGGACTCCATTCACTATGCTTGAGGACCTTGATTTTGCGGATGATAAAGTACTCTTATCACATAAACATGAACCATTACAAAAAAAGTAACAGACTACACAGCACAGCAGAAATGGTGGGACTGAGAATAAATACAAAGAAAAATGAGATCATGACAAGAAGTCCAAACCAACAACCAGTGAGTGACCATAAATAACCAAACTCTTGAAAATTAAAATGTAGAACATTTCACATATCTTGGCAGTGTGGTGTCCCTGCCGGGAGGGACCGAAGAGGACATACAGTCACATCTGAACAAAGCTAGAGCTGCTTTTGGAAGGATGAGGCAAATCTGGAAATCCATCAATTACTGCAGAGGAACTAAACTCCGACTCTATAATAGCATCATTTTGCCAGTTCTTCTTTATGGAGCAGAATGCTGGAGAATGACCATAAAGGATGTACACAAGCTGTCCACCTTCCACCACACATGTCTACATAGAATTATAAAAATGTTCTGGCCAGATACAATCTCAAACACTAAGCTACTTCAAGTCACAAAACAAGAAACTTTAGACAATATGATAACCAAGAGAAGATGGAAATGGCTTGGCCACGTTATGAGAATGAATCCTGATATACCTGCCAAAACAGCTCTCACATGGACACCAGAGAGAAAGAGAAAACAGGGCCGCCCAAAAACAACACGGAGACGAACGATGGAAAGTGACCTGAGTGCGGCATCTTTGACATGGAAAACTGTACTGAAGATTGCACAGGACAGGAAAGCATGGATAGTCCTCTCTAAAGCCTTGTGTGCCACTAGGCATAATGAGAACTGATGATTGTATAGAATAGAATTATGATTTGGAATACAAAACTATTGACTGTCCTCCCCATGTGGGTTCTCAAGGGGCCCATTGATCGGATCATGGGTTGAAAAAGAATAGACCTGATCTCCCAGATAAAGTGTCACAAACAACGACTAATTAGGGATTTGTTGACACTAGCTCACATTGTTCTAATCGTTCCCATTTCCTCTCCTCTTTTTAACGTCTCTCTCTCTCTAGCTCCCTTCTCTGTGTATTTTAAAGTCTGCCTTTATTTCTTTGCACCTGTGGGTTCCAGTGCAAAGACATTCTCGTTAGTGTTTTTAGGTTTTCTTAGCATATTTCCTATCCAACGGCAGCGTCTTTTCTTTACCTTTTTATCCACTGGTACTTAGCATTAGTAATTCTATCATACCATATAATGCCCTCTGTTCTGTGCAGGCAGGAGTTAATAAATATTTGTGGTTTGTTAGTAATTGTTTTAATTGTTCTCCATGTTTCCGCTCCAAACAGCAGTACTGATTTGATATTGGAACTACAAATTTTAAGTTTAAATATCTTTTGGACTCCACAAATTTCCTAGTGCTATGAAAGCACCTCTTGCCTTTTGTATTAATATCTATTAGTTCCTCCATCTTTACATTGCTGCCCAAATATGGGTATGACTCGACATCTTGGAGTGGAATGCCATTAAAAGAAACCACATTCCTATTTGCCTGGTTTATTATTTTCATTATCTTTGCCTTTGTGGATTTTTAGTCCTGGTTGTAGTCAAGTATATTTATCTGGTTCCGTGAGTGGGATAGAAAAGAAATATCTCAGCGAAGTACAGATCCTCAAACTTTTTTGTAGGGGTCCCCCGATTTCCTTTCCTGGTGTTAGCATTTGCTGTCTTCATAATCCAGTCTATTGTCAGTATAAATAAAAAAAAGGTGACAAAAGACATGCTTGTTACACGCCTGTTCTTATTTAAAATATATTTGTTAGCTTTCACTCGTAAAGAACTTGACATTCTGGGAACCCAGTTCTCTGATAGGGCAAATTATCGAGAGCCTTGACTAGGAGGTTCTTCTTCTTCTTCTTTGCGTTAGGTTTTATATACTCAGATCAGACCATCAGGTGGGTTGCCTCTTGAACTCGCGTGTCAGTAGCAGGTCTTTCGTGGTTCCCCATAGCTTGCTCTGCACACTTTGCTCTTGAGGCCAGATGTCTTTTCAAAGTTGTAGGTAGAGTTGGCAAGTTTGCAGAATGTGCTCAGGTGTTTGTAGTTCTTTTTGACAGGAACGCAGTGGGGACTGTACAGTCTTTATTTAATGCATATGGTAGTTTAGCCTGCAGTCTCCTGTTCGTAGACAGAAAATTGGTGTATGTTGCTTTCTGTTGAGTCTGCTGATGGGGTCTTGTGGATGTTTACTGTTAGTTTGTTCTCTCCATAATTCATTGTCTTTTCCCTTGATAAGTGTTCTGATTTCTGGTAATGACAATGAATGGATGCCTTGTATCACCTTTTCCATATTTTTTTTCAAGTCTTCTGCTAATTCATTTCCTGGTATGCCACAGTGAGCCAGGATTCACTAGAGAACTATTTATTTTCTGCAAGTCTGTTTAGCTTGCGGGTCAGTTCTCTCTCCATGTTGTCTTGCGGATCCCTCTGTCACCTGGAGGACTGACATGCAGTCACAGAGTAAAACAATTTTGCTGTTTTTAATATTTCTTTCCTCTAACACTTTGGCTGAATCAACAATTGCTTGCTGCACTGCTCTGAAGTTTGTTGAGAGTCTTCCGGAGGCGCATGACATTTCTACTGTGGTCTCATCTTGCAGCATGATGACCAATCCTGCTTCTCCGTTTTTTTTCTGCTCGCTCCAGTGATCCATCAGTGTATACGTGTGTCCATTCTGGACTAGAAGGCTGAGATCTTGAAACCGCTTCAGCCTTACTTGCAAGCATTAGAGTTATCGTAGGCTCAGCCTCAATTAAATGAAAATCATAAATTTTTATAAGGGAGTTTTGCTAGCTGACATTGTCCTCACCAAACTGCATTTATATGGTACTTGGTGACAGAGTTCTTGACTATCTCACTGTCATTAGGGAAGAAAATATGGACTTTTGAACTGAAAATGCTTTAGAAAGGTTCTGTGTACTGTGGACCAGGAAGACAAGAAATACTGGCTTCCTAGAAGATTTAAACCTCCAGGAAGATTTGCTAGCAAACAGAATCTTGTCTTGGAAACTTCAATATTTTGGCAATATTAAATGCTACAGGGGATTGGAAAGAATAGTAGCGGAGAGAATGGTACTAGAAAGAGTGAGTTGGATCTGTAAAACAGATGTGCACACAACACTCTGGTTTTGGTACAAGACTGCAGTCCAGAAGTGGATGGCAACGAGAACTTACAGCTGGTGAATGTGAAGAAGAGGGAGAAGAATTGTAGGTTATAGAAGTAGTTTGTGTTATGATATACGTGTATTTGACCACATGTCATGTGGGTAGTTTATGAAAACTCTACTGTGAAGCAAACACTACAGTGGTTTTAATCATCAGAAGCTTCCGCCTTTGTTAATAAAAATTCACAGTAGGAGAAAGACACCCCATGGGTCTTGAACTGACACCATCTCATGGAGAATAGAAAAGTGTAGAGACCCAAACATTGATTGAATAGAACCACTGCTGATGATTAGAAACCTCTTGTTCTGTTTGCTCCTCAGATAAGTTTGTAGAGTTGAGGTGCAGCTGTGTTACGACTTTTAATTATTTATTTATTTATTTTTGAAACAGATGCATGCTGAGTGGCGGGACAGCCATGATAAACCTCGGAAGTCTATAACCAGACACACACAGTTCAAACTCTCTGATAAAAATATCAGTTTGTTCGCTCCAGGGATGTCAGCTGCAGTGCTGTAAAAAGTTTTGGTGGCTATAAACAGACAATACTGTTGAACTGAAAGCATTCCTGCTTGTATTTTTGGGGATAGAAGTTATCCTTCTCTGTGACTGTTGTTGATGCTAAATCTTATTGTTTGTTGATGGTTATTGTTTCCGGAACTGTTGGCCATGCTGTCAAATACTGGTGCGGAATCAGTATTATCTTGCTTAAAACATGACATGAATGTGCTATAATTACTTAATGAAATGGCTTCCCCGAGTCCTTGGGATGCCTACTCGCAACATACAGGACTCCCCGCATCTTTGGAGTCCTACCCTCATCATTTCTCCTCATCAGACATGCGTGGTCTCACTGGAGGCTCATCTGCTGGTATGAGCGGCCTACCAGGAGACTTGACACCTGTCAGCCTGAACCTGACCTCACCTTATGCTTCGTATGCTCAGTCTTATCCTGGGATGTCAGACCTGAGTTTTGCTAGCTCATCTCTGAGACCAAGCTCTGCTGCCCACTCCTCAGGATCTGCTCCAGATAATCTGCCGGCCTCATCACCTCATGGTCAGTACTCGAGTACGCCCACCTCAGAAAATCAGTCATCCTCCCCATCGTTCCCAAATTCTACCTCGATGTATACTTCCAGTACCGCCACGAGCAGTATTTCATCCAGTCCCTATGCACAAGCTTTTGGGGGATCCTCCAGCTCAGCAGAAGCAGCTGCACGAGGACCTTTCTCTTTTGCCCAGTCTTATGGCTACCCCGTGTATGGATACAATCACATGGGTGGCTTCCCAGGCTCAGGTTCAATGGAAGGTGTCAATCGCTATATGGGAGGCATTTCATCCTCAGCACTGATGCAGCCAGCAGCTATGGGCCTTTACTCAAACAGCCAACCAGGCCAGATGCCGTTTTCCTATCATTCTGCAATGGGATGGGGTTCACCTATTCCAGGCTTCCAACTGAAAGAAGGATCAGATCTGATGGCACAAGATGAACTGGAACGTTACAGATACCGTCAGTTGTCTAACCAGTACTTTTCAGGGCTCCAACCAAGTGGATCTCCAGTTCGCAATTTTCCACCTCATCCATTGCAACAAAGTATGATACGAACTCCTCCTTACATGGATGACAGGACTCACAGCCCACCACCAAAGAAACTAAAGAAATCCACGGAGGATTCAGAAAGGCCTCCCACACCTTCACCGAGAGATCCTTCTGCTTTCCATTCTAACAGGGGTATATACTTATTCAATTCTGATGCTGAGCCAGGTTCGCCTAAGTTCTTCAGTGACAGATATGTCCTCTTTGAGAAAGAATTGTGTAAAAAGCTATCTCGGGTCAGTCTGCCTGGCAAAATTCAGTACGTGTACAATCCACTGGAGTATGCTTTTGAGTCGCATCTAAATTTTGTGAGAAAGTTCTGCGCTGGAGAGAAGTATATTTTGTTTGTGGGTATGAATCCTGGACCATTCGGGATGTCCCAGAATGGCGTCCCCTTTGGAGAGTGTGCTGTGGTGAAGGAGTGGATGCATATTGAAGGCGAAGTCCAGAAGCCAGTCTTGGAGCATCCCAAGCGACGGGTTGTTGGGCTGGAGTGCTCCAGGTCAGAAGTCACTGGGGGGCGATTCTGGCAACTGTTCCGAACTTTATGTCACACTCCTGAGCATTTCTTCAGAACCAGCTTTGTGCACAGCCTGTGCCCCTTTGCCTTTCTGACTGACACCGGCAAAAATGTCACACCTCCCCAGTTAGTGTCCTCCGTGCTGGATCAGATCAATGCATTGTGTAACGAGACTTTGGTGGAGGTGGTGAGACTTCTCAAGAGCAAATACGTCATATGTGTGGGAAAGTACGCTCTGGCCCAGGCTCAGAAAGCCTTGGCAGGGGATGAGTTCAGTGGAATCATCTTAGAATGCTTGATGCATCCAAGTCCCATCAACCCAGCAACCAACAAAGGGTGGACAGATATTGCTTTGAAGCAGTTGACAGAGATGGGAATTGTGGATGTTATTAGGTATGGAAGGATCCCATATCAAGCTCCCAATCAGTCACCTGCACCTCAGTCATCTAATCCTTCAGCACCTTCATTACCATTAAACCAGCATTCCCAGTCTCAGCATCCTTATAAAAACAAGAAATCTCCAGGGTGTTATGACTTCCAAGCTCCGCCAGGGCAGTCGTATCATCAGTCAGCTCAGGGCTCTGCCAGTCACCAATCACCAGTCCACGCACTGAACCAATCACCAGCTCATGGGTCATCACGGAGCCAGTCGTCGCCGGCCCATGCTTCGTTTCATGGGCAGTCGTCACCAGGACAGTCTTCTTGTAGTCAGTCCCCTGCTCTGCAGACAGCTCCTACCAACCAGTCTCCCAGCCTGACCTCAGGAAGCAGCTGTTCTGTTTTACAACAGGGATCAGGGAATCCACAGGCGGATAACAACCAGCGGTCCAGCAGCGAACCACTCAGTGCTGAAAGGGTCAGCTCTAACAACCCACCCATTTTAGAGTCCTCGGCTCTGACCTCTGACATGTCTCAGGAAAGTAAGATTGTTTCAGATCTTGATACTAATGGCATTCCAACTTTTTCAAGCCCCCCTGATGACCTTGACAATAGTCTGGAAAATTCCCACAGTGACTCTGGGTCACCGGGGTCGGATATTTCAAAGGCAGATTCTCCAGATGTTCCCTATCCTTCAGGAAACTTACCAATGAATCTGTCAGAACGCCAGCTCTCCGCACATAATTCATGTATGTCTGAGGCCGCCAATGCCCGCATGTCTAATGGCATCCAGATGACCGCATCAGATCAGGCGCACCTCAACATGCGCTCAGGGCATTCCCACATGGGCATGAGACTGCCAATGTCTGATTCACCGGGTCTTCAACAAACTGGCCCATCAGAGCAACACTTGCGCTTGAATGAGCAGATTGGCTCCCCGCACATGAGAACCCAAGACTCCCGCATGGTGTCCCACGGCTCCCACATGGGGTCTGCTGCAGGAAGCCACATGCAAATGGAAATGGGAGCACATGGCCTTGGCATGCATGGCCACATGGGCTCGTTAAACCCGTACAGCCACATGGAAATGGGACAGATGGGTGGGTTTGGATCAAACATGGCTGCCAGTAATTACTCGGCCAACTCCGGCATGAGACCCGGCTCAGATGTTCCGGGATATGGTCATCACATGGGTTTATATAACCCGGGGATGGATATGTCAATGTCTGGCATGCATGCTGCTCGGCAGATGGAGATGTACAACCAGCACATGAGTTCAATGATGGGTGTGCAGCAGGAGAACCTGCCCATGCATCCCGGCATGAGCGCCATGTATGACAGCCAGATGGGCAAGGAGATGTCCTACAGCAATCATTTCTTGGACAAGCCTCCAGAGTGTAGTTAGCTTAGCTTTATAGTTATACAGTCACGGTTCTCTTCTGTTTTTTAACTGCTGTCCTTGGAATCATCCGGACTGCTACTTACTTAATCTCGAATGTGAGAGAACCGTATTGTTTTACTTAACCCACCCAAATTTACTGGTTACATTATTAACCTTTGAGTACCCTAATACAGTGCAGACCGCTCGTGGCCATCTCTGATGTGCAAATTTGTTGTTTATCACCTGCAATTTTTTTTTGCTTGAACTCTTATTAGATGTGAGGAATTTCTGTTAAGAAGAACCATTTCTTGGGTCCCTATTGTGAGTTCTCCTTATCAGGTTTGCACTGTATAACTTGTTTATACAGTTGAACAATGTTTCTAGGATTGGTACCTGTTTGATTCTCATCCATGTGATGTTAATCCTAGTCAACAGTATACAGTCTTGGGGGGTGACATTTTTAACATTTGAGGGAATAGGGAGCTGCAGTTGCATTGTGTTTAATGCTCTCTTCAACCAAGACATTAGTCTGTGTTCTGTCCTTAGCAGGAATATTTTTACAAGTGAGCTCCAAATGACAGAGAGAGCTTGCAAATCAACTTCATTGCACCGGTTGTTAACCCATACGGCACTGTTGCTCTGCTGACCCCAGGCATCTATGTAAAAACAGCACTTAAGAACTTGATGGTGCATCCATGAAATGAACGCATTGCCTCAAAACGTAAAGAAAATGTTGTAACTGCTTCTCCGTGGAGATTCGACCCCACCCTCTTTTTGTTAGTGACCACAGAATGGGTAGTAGGCAATTGTTTCTGGCAATTATCTTGGGAGAGAAGATGGCAAAGAAGGGAATCCCCTTCTTGTTTGTTTAACAGTTTGTTATTAAAAAGGCCTTTCCCTTCACTGCAGCAGTAGTGCCTGTCGTAGGAATTTCTTTACCTCTCATGTGAGGGAAAGCATTCTTAGAACACTGCCCATTTGCTACATGTAGTCTTGTGTGTTAGAGGATGAATTCACAGAGCACTGTCTAAACGGTTGCATGTAGTATGTGTATGGGCAAATACATTCCTGGCAGCTTTGTGTATTTGTGTATGTTTCTCCTTGGGCACAGTTCAGACATCCTAGGTATTTTCTCCATAATGTTTCTCTTATGTCTTGGATTGGAGATCCTTAAAATGTTGTTTTACAGCTAGGCTGTGAAATCACTCCTTTCAGCCCAGCACAGTGGATTTCATCCAACAGCTGTTAGTCTCCTTTTGAAACATCCTTTTTAGTGGACAGCAACCTCCTTCGCAAACAGTATGGCCTTGGAACCCACCAGGGAGCATAGGCACTCAAGCAGCTCAGTCAAACCCTATGCTTACTTGTTGATGATTAGTTGCTGCTGTTTTCTGTGGACAGAGATGGTTAGTCCGACACCAACACTCCTTGGTCACCATGCATAGTCGGCTGCAAAAATACTGTTATTGGTATGGAATTCCTTCATCGGTGAACAGTTAGTATCAGTCTCATGTGGGAGACCTGTGTTCAAATCTGCACAGTATGTGGTGACTGCACTGGCCAGGTAAATTCTCAGGCTCAGGACCTCCCTCCCCTCCACACTTGCCTGTCTGCAGAGACAGTTGAAATACTTTGGCCACATTAAAAGAAATAGCACACTTTTAAAAATCATACAAGAGGGAAAGGTTGATAGCAAGAGGTAGGCAACGATACCAGTGGGGTGTAAACATCAACATGGCTATCGTTTATTTGCTGCTGTGTGGTTTTATTGGGCAATTGTACATTCAGTATTTTGCCACTGCTTTCTTAACAAAACAGCTCTCACTCATTGTAAATTTTTTTTTTGTTGCAGTACGCAATACTGACATCTTCTGCACGACTGTAGTAGACACTTTGTGGAGAGTACTGTCACAAAACAAGCACTTAGTGTGTGGTGTGTGGTGGGGGGGGGGGGGGGGGGAGAGAGATCATGTAAAGCAGTCTACAGCTAAGTCACCTTGAACTGCCATGTCAGGATTGTAAAACTGCAGTGACGTTCCCTGAGACACAGAAACCTACATTCTTTTTTTCTGCATTCACTCTTAAAATTGTGGTTGGTACTTTGTATTGTGGTTTACAGCTAGGCTTTGATATCAGCATGTTTCATCCCAACGTATCCTATGTCAGTGAATACTGAAGTAATTGCCCTGTATGACATGCTTGTTAAGGAGTCTTGTCTTTTCTTTTTTTCTATCCAAAAATGTAGCCTTGGAACTGACCTGGAAAAGCTATCACTGGACTTGTTTGTAGCATTTTAGTGTTATATGTATGGGTTTTCTTTTGTTGTTGTTCTTGAATCGATGAAACAGTGAACAATTTTCGTTTGCAGCAACAAAAATATAGTCTCATGAATTTGAAATGGAAAGATTTATGTTACAGTTTATTCTGTGTTCTGATTGTTAATAGAAAACATACCAATTTTTGTTTTATGTTTTGTTTTTATACGGGAAAGATATCATGTGAAAGGTTTTTAAAATGTGTCAGTGCAGTACAGTATTCAAATTCCAGATTTTGTTTCCTCACAGATTTTGTATTCAGTTTGATTCTTTCAGTCTCAAACATTGAACTTTTTTGGTCCCAGAAGATCACAGCCAATGCCTGATTGAAGCAATATGGAAGACGCAAAAAACATGGGTATACCGCATCCGCAGGGTCCAAATGTACAGCACAGCGTGTGTGACTCTCTTGTTGGGTTGATTTAGTTTGCCTGAATAAACTTAAGATGTACACATATACAGAACATGTTGTCTGATGCACATCAGCGGATATCCAGAACAGATGGAGCTGAAAAAGTTAATGCTTTAATAACTGGTTAAATATTTAGAAGATACTTTCACTAATTAGGTCAGCCCAAGCCTTGAACAGCTACAGTGTAGCTGGCAAATAAAGGCTGCTGGCTTGATATTCTATCCTGTTCTGTGGAGTCGCATCAATACCATGGATGGATTCTTGTCCAGCACCTTGAAAGCTGAAGATGCCTCACTAATGTGTGGCCTAATTTCTTTCTTTAGGTTTTTAAAATTCGTAAATTGTTCTGTTTTCGGGTATAATTATATTTGTAAAATGTTTGGATGTTATTTGTGGTGAAAAAAAAGCACATTTAAGTTCTGCTGTCATTACGTCATAAAAATCTCATAGCAACACGTCGCACCACATAGCTATGTCAATAAAAATACATTTATCAGAGTCATTGTAATTCTTTGCTCCATTAGTATTTGGTAATTAATTAGCTTACTTAAAACTTGTATTTCACCGATAAAAGTGAATTATTTAAGTGATTTGATGCCTCATGAGACACAATGCTTGCCTGTGTGCTCATGTTTTAACAGTTTTATAAAAACTGACCACGACTCATAACACATTTTATAAGAAAGCGCCGCTGGAATCGGCTATGCACTCAGAAGGAACAAGACTCCCCTGTCAAGCTCTTATTTGGACTCTGAAAGGGAGAAAAAAAACGAAGAAGACTAAGAAAGACCCTGCATAGAACCATCATCAGGAAAGGCTCAAACCATGCACCTAATGACCACCCAAGACCTAAAACTGGTGGCAACGAACCACCAGACATGAAGAGCTATGACCTCTGCCGCCGCCTTGGGCTCACTAACTTCTTCTCTTGCTCTTGTTTTTAATAGTAGGGTTTCAGAGAAGTTTACTTTAATGATTTTTGATAAGGGTCATGTTTTTAGATTGTTGGGAGTGGGCGAAGTTTACCTCCGACTGTCCAGTTAAGATGCACTGTGAGACACTGGTGAATTTGGAATATGAAGTATTCATTGTGACACTTTGGCAAATTTTTCCAACAGATAAGGTACAAAATGTGTATGATGACAAAGACAATTCTTCACCTTTAAAAAAAAAAATCATGTTGATGTATTATGCTTTCTGTCCATAAAACCTGAAATCAAATTATATTGTGATCCTTTGAAGGCTTGATTGCAATTTTGGTTGTTTTTTAATCAGTAGAACTAAGCAGATACATCCTCTGATTTGGATCGTTAAATGTTGGCTAACTGCCTATTATGCGTATGCATTATTCTTTGACTGATTATTATAATTTTTTTAATAGCATATTTAATGTTTTCCTGGCAATAACTTTTTGATGTATGACAATTTTAATTTAAGCTGAAATTTATTGAACTATGTTTGAAATTTTTTTTTTTAAAATATGTTTTCTTATATTTTTCATTGCTCTGACGAACAAGCCCATTTGTTCCATGGCAAATGGATTACCTATCTTTTTACATGCCCATTCATAAATTTTCTGTCCATTTTTTTAGACTGTAAAGTTTAGATTTCGGTTGTTTCTAAAATAGCAACATTTTCAGGCTGAAAAGTTTTGGGGCTTGCTGATTTTTTTTTCTGACCTGTATCCTCTACTCCACAAGTGAGGTGTGATCAGTTTGCAATTATCAGCAGGTAAAACTTACACTGGGGAGGGTATCGTGATAATTTCTTTCTTGATGCTTTGCTGTTGAGAGTTTGTGCACCGCTAGCATTGTAGTATTTGTAACTGGTAGCCTTGACAAGCCACAGTTTCTGCATGAGTGGCGTAAGCATACAGCAAGCGCTCTTCTCCCTATTTTTGAAATGTAAACTATGCTGCATATTTATAGTAACAAATAATAATATTTAATAGTAAAATCGTAATGCATGTTTTTGGCTGTGGTCAGGAGCGATTACAGCTGTGGCTTACAGGCCTCACTGCCACCCGTTGGTACATGCGCACTCACCCAGCTCATGTCAAGCCTTCTTATATTTTGCATCTTCTGCGGCTCCTTCAGTGTTTCAATTCAACAGGTTTCCTGTTTATCTGCTGTCTAAATATGTGTCCTATCCAGATCTGATAGCTTTTCCTAAATTTTAGATTCTCCAGAGTTTTAGTTTTCTCCCTGGGACAGGTATGCTCCATGTGCACTAGCAAGCATCACTTCAGAGGTTCCTGGCGATTAGTATTCTTTGGATATTTTATCTGGGGGTATGGC